ACTAAACAACGACACCAACAACAGATCGACGCACATGTAAGAGTAGATCAAACGTAGGAAGAAGTTAAATCGACTTTCAAACGGGAGCATAAACCAGCCCGCAACGTGACGACTTGGGAGCCCGCGATGCAAACGGTGACAGGAGCAGAGAGGAGAAGAGTGATCGGTAAATTTGCCAAATGGGGGTGAGGACCGAGAGAAGAACGCGGTCGCCTATATGAGGGATTAGCAGCCAGCGGCGACGTGAAGGCAATGAACACCCCTCGCGAAAGAAATGGAGGCCCGCACACTTGGGCGAGTGCATTGCCACAAAAGGAGAAAATTGTATCCGAGATAGATTCTCAGAGGGGAAGCTCGCTGCGTCACAGACGTCACTTTCCTCGGCGAATTCGGCACGGGAAGTGATGGCCGAGCTGGCTGCACGTGGGCACTGCCGGCGAGAAACACGAGCGTTAACGTAGACTGATAGTCGTAATACTTTGAATTGAAATAGCGTCATCCATGCTAATAGCTTTCAGTTCATTTATTTCAGTTTCATTTATTAGGTAGAGGCCTGTGAGCCATGCGGCTCTTGACTCGGGTGCAATCGCAACAAACAAAAACATGAACAAAGAAACATCTTAAAGTGACGACAACAGAAACATCCAGGAAAAAAACCAGCAAAAATCTTCCAGAAAAAAGCACCGTATATCAACGCTGTGTGCAAAAATCCCAGTGGGATGCAAGTCAAACAATAACAACCATAAGACAATTTAAAGTTATCAGGCTAACTCCGTACTTCAACAAACAAACATGGCTTAACTATACGTTTTCGAAATCACCAAAAGAAAGCTATAAAAGCAATGTAACAGTGATCATAGGAACTGTGATTCAAATTTAACAATAAACGATATACAAAACATGTACGACCATCCCACAATATTGTACATTCATTATATGTAAGGACCAAAGCACATGTACAGCTACTCCGAAGGAAAGGAAACCCCGACTACTATCAAGCAAAATCTAACAAATGAATAAACAAATTTAGAAATGGACACCAAAAAGCACAAACAAAAACAAAAACAAAAAGTGATCACAACAAAGAAACGAGTCCACGAAGGTCTATCACATCCCAGCGCGCACTTTGTGAGACTGGAGAATTTAGACCCATTCTAAGCAACAGATGTAATGTCCAGGAGAGGAGAAGGGATTAATACGCGCGCACATCACCGCTTCACGGAATAGCTCGCGTGGGGCGACGGACCGAGCGCTCCAAGTGGGCGGCGAGAGGTCGAAGGGCAGCGGACGGCACTGCCCTTAGCAACACAGAGCACGTAAGGAGATGGACACCTCATTGTGAGAATAATGAGATTATCAATTGGAGAAGATGACGTCAAAACAAAGCAAATACGTTTCAAGATGTCAGATAAAAGGAATGGGAGCATGAAAGCAGCAACGTGGACTTTGGTAAAATCACAAATGGTGGTTCTGAGAGAGCTAGATTCAAACAACAGAAATGTGTCAAACGCACCCAGCGCCTGTGCTCAGTGCAAGAACCGGCAGCACTCCCTGAGGAAGTGCATTGTGGTCCTCTAAAAATAGACTCGAGCCACTGTGACCGACTGACTGCAGCGGTGAGAGGCAACTACTGGTGTCAGTCGGTCACATTTGCGAAAATATTATGTTGTTGTGACCAAAGACAAGAGGAGCACAGTGCGAATGTCGAGGAACTGCTGATGGTCTTTGCATAATGCACAAAGGCTGTGTGCTCTATCATCATCATCATGATCCGTGGGCAGATAGCCCGAAGGTGTCCACTGCACGTTTCGTCATCTGTTTCCACTTTCCTCTCTGTATTGTGCCAACATGCTCAAGTAGTGGGGACGTCTTTCTGGCACCAACCACTTACGATGTCGTCGTGAGGTCTTCCTCTCTTTCCAGTCCCTTCCATTTCCCCGAACAACAACAACAACAAGACGCTGTTGAATGTTCCTGTTGCTGTCGCGTAAGTAGGAACAAGCGGTCGTACGGCTGCCACCGCGTATCATCGCACAAGGCGGGATGCTGCTGGATGATCCTAAATGCTTCCCACGCGCCCCAAGTCTTTGTTCAGCGTGCGTACGCTTGTCACGTGACTCGCGTGGCCGCCACCACTCCGAATCCCTTCCACACCCTTCCTCTGCAGACGCTGCTCCGCGCTGCTCGATTGCTGCTCGCTCTTTCCTTCGCTGTCTCCCTCTCTTCCCACCCGTCCCATCGTCACGCTCTCATCCCCAACATCGTGGCCCCGGTCGTTCCTTCTCCCCCTCGGCAACTTCTCTCTTCGCTACTGCTCATCTCGAGTGCGGGACGCCCTCTTTATCTTGAAGACTTCTGCTGCTTCGTCTGCCCTTATCTCACTTCCCTTTCACGTTCCTTTTCCATACATTCAATCCTTGGCTGCTTTTCCCCTCCCCCGGGGTGTGCCATGGGGAAAAACGTTTTATGTGTACGAATGGAGTAATCCGTTGCGGGCGTTGTTGGATCATTTGTAAACAACAAAAATATACCAGACCGTACGATGCGAGTGCCTTTTTTTTAGCAATTTGCAATGCGTGCGGTGAGACTTGTGTTACAAACCCAGGCCCCTAAGCGATATCAATAGCTTGAGGAGGCCTTCGTCCACGCAGCAGTGGATTGGCAATGGCTGATGATGATTATGAAGCGGTAAGTTTGGCTGTTCTCTTGGAAGTACACCATAATTTAGCGAAATAATGTGTGTACGATGCGTGCGTAATTGATTGGCCACGTTTTGGCCAACAGCTCCAATGATCATTTCCCATTACAGCTCCTGAAGGATGCCCACATCTGTTCTCTGCGCCGTCCGAAAAACTCCGTCGGTGGTAGCCGACGGTAAGACCACAATTCCGCTGATCTGATTCTCCACTTAATTTGTCCACAGCACCACAGATTGTGGAGACTCGCGCTCAACCAGTGAGGCACGCGCTCTCAATTGGCGACTTCGGGTTGTGCCCCGTCTCGCTAGGCCCCGTGTCCGACGTTTCGCCGTGTGGTGCCGGGAGCGAGCTCCGTCCTGAACAATTGCATTGTTGGCAGATGCGTTATTCCGCCGCGCCGTGGAGTGAAACATCGGACAACGTGGCGAACAACACGCGGTAACAGCCCGAAAATTCATCGGAGGGCCGTACAGCCCTGAACCACCAAACGTTTTCTCTCCCTTCGCGGTAGATCGCTGCTACGGTGGCCTCCCCACACAACTGCTCTACTGCCCCCTCCCCCCCCATCCGAGATGAACTGGAGACGGGGGTGCCGAGAAAACCTGCAGATGTTAGCATGAGGCGCGGTGATCTGTGGGAAGGTCGCTGTGTCGTGGTGGCTAAGATGTTAACTACTTCGCCTGGTATACAGGAGGTTGTGTATATTTGGAGTCCGCTTGTTCCCTCTCCCCGTGGTCGTGTGGATTTTCCTCTGGGTCCTCTGGGTTTTTCCTCCGCATTTAGAATCAACGTGCGTTGATTCTAGAAATGTCCACATGATAATAAGCCCACCTCGTTGAGCTATCATTTGTGGCCAGAGTTCGCTTCTCAAAAAGAGCTATATGGCTCAAGTGGGCCTTACCTGGTTAAATAATAAAAAATATATAGTTGATCGTGGGTTGCGCATGTCCCGAGCAGCAGGGGCTGCCAGAGTGGCGTGGGGTGGCCACAGCCTCTTCCCTCCGACACCAGCCTCTTCCACTCGTCCCCGGGGCGTCTCTGAACCCAGCTCGCTGCACATCAGCGGCCGTGCCTCGAGAGGGAGCTCCTGTACCTTGCGCGCTGCTTGCGCCGAGCACTGCTGCCCTCTCGCCTGCCTCCCCACGGGCTTGTCCCCCCGCTTTGTGTGTCTCGTGCCACTTGGGTTGTGCCGCTTGGGTTGTGCGTGTTGTCCATACAGAGGGGTTGTTGTCCCTCCCTCGCAACTTCGATTAGCACCGTTGGCTACGTAGGGTGCGAAAGAAGTTCAACGTACATTGTTCTGTGGCCACAGGTTCGTGAGTTCTGTGTATCTCGGATAGTGTGTCCTCTGTTCCAACATCGGTGACGAATATCTGAACCGGTCCTGGGCCTCCCTTAGGTCGACTCAGCCTTAAATCGATACCTTGCGTGGTGTGTAAAACATCAGCACTGAGGAGACAAACGCGTGGTGCCCCCCCCCCACACCCCCTTGTGCGCTGTGCCATCCCTTAATCGGTGCTTGCTAAAGCACTTGCCCCCAAGTCTGACGATTGCTGTACGGTGGATATTTTTTTTGCCTCTGTGTGTGTGTGCGAGTTGGCAGCCTTCTGTGTCTAGGCTGCCGACTTCCTCTCTCGTTCTGCGCGGTCTGTGGCCAATGGTCGCATTTGTTTCCAATCCAGAGATGTGTTCTGCGCCTGCGCGTGTGACTTCTGACCGAGGGGGGAGTCAACCCAAAAATGTCAAGTTCGTTGGTCTTTCTAAAGTCGGGCATAGACCTTCTCACTGTTGCTACGGACAGTGGCGTGGATATCGAGGGCGCGGGAGGCGCAACTGCACCGGGCCCCAGGTGCCGGGCTACAAATGGAGGGGTGTGGGGTGGCTGGAAATTGGTGCATGGGCACCCCCACCGTTTCATTTTGCTCCATTGGGGGCCCACGCCCATCGTGCTGAGCTGTTTCACACGTGGCAGGGATTTCGCGAGCAATATTATTCACGGTCGAGGTTATCTTGGGTTAGAGCGCGTAAAATATATAAATGCGTCGTAAAACCCGCCGCCACCCGACGCAGCCAATTAGAAAGCTTTGCCACGTAAACAAAACGTGACAATCATTTACTCTCCAACACACCGTTGTGCTGAACTAATTGGCACCAATTGTCTGTGTCAGGTGGTAGTGGGTTAACGAGACATTTGTATTTCCGCGATCTAACCCTAAGTAACCTTCGTTGTGGATAAGGAAGCTGTTCGGCGCAAGCTTCCTGTGACTCGGGAGGAGGTGGGAAACGAAACCTTGAGCCGACTCCAAACGTCGTGAATGTTTAATGCAGATGAACAACAGCAACAATAACCAGGGGACCTACTTTCACAACCACATACGACAGCGCACAACCGGCAACACCACCACCACCACCACCGGCACAACCGCACACAAAAACCACACCAACCCCACTTCCATTCCGTGTCTGAGCCACGAGGACACTGCGATACGCACCCACGAGCGAGCGCTCGCGCGTAACGGGCTTCTCCTTCCGTGGTGCTCGCGGCCGTTTGATTTGAGAACAAAAAGGCAGCAAATTTATCCATGACGCTGAACGATAACGTTTTTTATATATATACGAAAAACAAGTCCGGCTTTCACGATGTCCTCTGCAGTCGGAGTGGGCAGACTAAATAGTGCACCGCAAACGTCCGTGTAGCTTGCGGTCGACCAACACAACGCCCATCGAGTCTGTACATCATCGAATGAGCGGCATGACATCGGGGGATGCGGCCTGACTTGCGTTACACACGGTGGGCAAGCATGCAGAGACACGGTGACACGTTTTCATTTCTTTATCATGCAGTGGAATTTGACGAGTGGGGGTCACTCCGCACCGACATCTTGCGAGCTCGGTGCACAGGCCAGGAAATGCAACCAATGAACGTGTTGTGTACGTTGCATGTATGTATGTATGTTGTATGTATGGTGAACTTCTTTCGCACCGTACGTGGCCAACCGTGAAACGTGGCCCAACACAACAGACGGACACGCGAAGCCGATGCCAATTCCCGACTTTTCGTACCATTTTGCACCCCTGTTCAGGCGTGAAATTCTTCCCCCCCCCACCTCAAACTCGGGTCCCCATGTGACCTAAGACCGGTGGGGCTCGACAACCAACATAACAAGCAGAGACATCTTTTTTTTCCTTCGAATTCGATGCACCACTCAATATCCCAAGAGCCGCGATGCGCGCGCGCGTTCGTCGCGTTCGTCGCACGGCGTCACGAAGCGGTCCGCAAGGAGACGCACGCGGCTCCCTAGCCACAGAGTGCCGACCCCTACCGGGTGACCCAATCGCCCGGGAATGCGGCGCGGCCCCATCGGATCTCGGAAGCTGAGCAGGGCTCGAGGCTGGGCAGTGCTCGTGCGGGGGGGGGGGGGGGGTGACCGCCGTGCGCAAACAACGGGCGAGGTGGCGTGGTGAACAGCAAGGGGGCGACGCCGCCAAATCCCTGGTTGCACTCTAATGTGTGTGCTCCCGCGTGTATGCTCGCCTCCTTCACAAATTGACTCCGACCAATATTGCTAACCTCTGCCACAGGCTTACGAGTACAGTATATTCGCGAGTGGTTACAATGAGCAACGCGTATAATGTTAATCGTCAGTCTGGGTAAATTATGATGAAATTAGATTAAATTCATTTGTAATGGTTAATATCCAGTTGAAATCGGGGTTATTCCCGTGAGGTCATGAACAGTTAATTAAGAAGCCAGGACAGGTGGCGCAGTGACTCTCACTCGCTGGGATCTGACCCGAGGATGGCTTGACGCAGTTCCAGGCTAAACGTCGCACATTTCATCGCTGCTACATTCGGCAGTGAGAGCTCCGGTGGTTCAGACGCTTTGTACGCAGCGCGACATTTTTTCATTTGTTTTGACTGTGTCCAGCGCTTGAAGGTTACACCACAAATAATTGGGCTGATTACGTGGCCGCAGCCCCAAAAACATAACTCGCGATTCATAATAGTGTGCCGCGACTTCCGACGTGCTGTGCATCAGCGACTCGTGTGTAGCTCATTATATTCACATGCCGTATGACGCGTGTGTAAAAGTTGTGTAAACAGATACGAAGTTTCCCCATGTTCACAAATATCTGGCGCCTCCTCTCATCCGTGTGACCGAGTTGGCCTTGATGATTGTGCCCACTCCCCCAAGGCCAGGCGTGACGTCAGAGCTTTAAAATCCCCCCCCTCCCCCCCCCAGAATTATCTGTGTGGGAAGTGTTATTATGACTAAACTGCACTGCCCGCTGTCACAGAGATATAATTCATTAGCGGTGCCGTGACGTCGTTGGAATTGTGTAGCCAGTCGAGTCGAAAACCCATTTCAAATGACGCCTCGCAACTATTTCTCTCACGGAGCTCAGTTGCAAGAGACAAAGAAGAATTTTGGGGCTCGTCAACAAAGCCGGCGGAGCGAAACGTCGCCGGCTTGGTGCGGAACGACGCTCCGGCGCTTAGCCAAGAGCGCGCCTGTGGGCTGCCTTGACCCCTGACCCCGCCAAGGCGTGCGATCGCCTCCCGGGTTAAGCGAAAGGACACCGGCGCGAGGTGAATCTCTGCGAGTGACTCAGCCGCCCAGCCGATTCCTCCCCCGCGCGATGGAGGAGGACGCCCGGCGGTCGCGTTTCTAAACGTCGGGGAAAGCCACGGCGAAGGGCTCGAGGCGGCAGCATCTGCACATCGCCGGCGCGGATCTGCAACTCGTGCAGAGACGATTGGGAGGCTTCTGTCACGCAGCGGCTGCGGAGCTCTCCGATGTGTTGTTCGGCTCGTAACCGCCCGTACGCTTCGGCCTAAAGCCCGGCGTATCGCTCCGCGTGCCGGGAGCTTCCTCGGGAATTAAATCCCGAACTGAATCTCTCCTGAAGGTGCTCCTGGCGCGCGCGGCAAAACGTCGCCACGCGCCGGAGAAGCTCGTCGGGAGCGAGCGAGAAAACCTACGCGGGAGCGTCGCGGTTACGGGTGGCAGCATCGTTCACATTCGAGGTTCACAATAAATACTCCGCAGGCCCGCGTGAGCGCTCGCAGACGTCTGCGAGGTCGCGAGTGTGCGGTGGCGCGCCGCCGGCCGCGACCGAATCATTCGGCGACTTCGCCGCTACCCAAAGTGTTTTTGTTTGGTCTCTCGCCGCGCGGTGTCCGGGGGACGCGTGGCGGAGGCGCGGGGAGGGCCGGCGATCAGCTTCGACCGCCGGGCGGTCACTTCGCAACGGCGACCCCCGCCGACCGGCGGCGAATGTGCGGAGAGGTGGTCCCAAAAATGGGGCTCGGAGATAGTGGGGGGAAGCCCAAACTAAGGCACCGAAATCAAACACTTGGAAGGAATTATAAATAAATACAATGAGACGAACAACGAAATACATTACGTGACATGTCGCGAGATAAATACCCCACCCCCCGCCAAGTGGCGCAAACATACACCCCGGCTCAAGAATATCAGACAAAAGCATCGATGACAGATGATACAGCGACGTACTGGGTGGCCAGGAATACCCTGTTTACATGGGGCCCAAGAGGGAACAGCAAGGGACGAACATCAGTGCAGCACCAGGGAGCCAGGGACTGCAGGGATTAGTGCAGGTTATAGAGAAGGACAGCAAGAGAGAGTTGGAGACAGCAAGGGATGGCAGGGTGCAGCATGGTACAGCCACGCAGCCAATGACGGGATGGCAGGGGTGCAGCAGGACGAGGACGGAACAGCAAATGGCAAAAGGATATGGCGGGAAAAGCAGGGCGCAGCAGATAAGAGTGGACAGCGTGTGACAGCAGGTGACAGCTGTAGAAAAAGGCAGTAAGCAAGCAGCGTCCAGAAGGAGATGGCAGGAGAGAAATGGAGACAGCTCCGGACAGACCAAAGGGTGCCGCAGCAGGAGCCACCAGGCCGAAGGGAGGGGCGGCGGCTGCTGCTGCACGACTCTCAAGACGCGCGCACCACTCGATCTGGTGCCACGGGAGGCTTCCGTACACGGAGCCCATGTCCCCAACGCCCATGCGGCCCAGCTCAAGGAACCGTCAGCTGCACGGCGACCAGACGCCGGTGCCTTCCCGCACGGGGCTCGCCAAGGGGTGCTTGCTCGTCTGCGCCGCGCTGCAGGTTCGGCGAGCAACGTAGCCTTGAAGATGCACCGACATCGGTGACAAGCGAAGTTCTTAAGTTTTGACTTGATGTCGGGGCAGTAGGAAGCGCTGCAGGACGCGGGGCCCTGGTGCGGAATGTGCTGCCTGCTGGTACAGAACGCGTGTCCGATAGATTTGGACTTGGCGATGGATCGCAAAGTGGCCGGCATCGATGCCGGCATGTGGAGGGCAGGGGAGCATCGTGCGGTGCGCTAAGAGGGACGGATCATGTTGGAACTTGTGATGAAAATCCTCGTCGTCATCGTCGTCGATGTCACGTGGGGGATCCCCTTCGTTATCCGTCCTCGACGGATGTTCAAGTCATTGGGTTTTGGGGGGGGCACAGTGATGCGCACGCACATTTTCAGGATACCCGAATAATTTTCTTGAAAGTGAAGGCATCGGGTCAACCACACCGGCTGATTGGTGGTGAAAAACAAATCTAACACTTTCCCTGAGCACTTTCCTCCCAAGTTGTTATAATCCACACATCTTCCCTCCATTCGCGGTGCCTCGAGCCGCAGTCCAATGTCGTGCAGACCCTTCCATGCTGCGCTACTGCTGCTGCTGCTGCTGCTGCTTCGGTGTCACGCTCAGGTCACCGCACTCGGCATCCACAGGTCCCCAGTTCGGCTCCATCTCACGGCGCGCCAGTTGAAACAACGAGGCAACTTCATGAACCCGACCCCTCCTCCCTGCCCGCTCTCCGCCACCGTCTCTGTCCACTCGGCGGTCTGAATGGGCACGCGGCAGTGAGTCGCCCGGCAGGCCGCGTGCGGTGGGGTGAAGTGTGTCTACTCCCGCCCCCTCCTACACGAGACGTTGGGCCAGTGTGGAAGAGCAGGCGAAGGGGCCTCTGGAGGCGCCTTCTCAGAGCTTTCTCAAAGAGTGTGAGGAGGCACTTCCACCAGTCGGGGGGATGGGGGGGGTGGACGGGGGGGGCGACGTGAGACATCAAATCGCAGGGCCGCACTTTTACCTTCAACGCTGCGACGGGCTCGGCGGTGCAATTCACTGGCGTTGTCACCCGTCCGCGAAGAAGGTCTGCAACGCTCCTAAGAGGGGGGGAATTTTGAAAGAAAAAAAAAACCCTTCGGAGATCTAAATTTAAAAAAAACCTCAAAATCTGCGCCAGAGCGACGCCGATGTCTAGAGGAGCTCCTCCTCCCCCGCCAGCGGAGCGACTCGCGTCACGCCGTTGGAGCTCTCCGCGACGGTGGCGCCGTTCGCGTCGCGGTCGTAGCAGGACGAGGAGGAGTCGCCACCGGCGGCGGCGGCGGCGGCGGCGGCGATGACGCCGGCGTGGCCGTTGGTCGCCGCGCCCTTGCCGCGCGGCTGCTGGTCCAGCGGCTCGTGGCTCACGCCCTTGCCCAGGCGGCGCGCCATGCCGCCCGGGCGCAGGCAGCACCAGCACGCGGTCAGCGCCGGCACGCACAGCGACGCTGCCACCAGCGCGCCCAGCGCGACGAGAAGCGCGCCCGGCGCGGGCCGCTCCGACAGCGGCCGCCGGCGGCCGCCGTCTACGTCGGCGGCGTTCGCGACATCGCCGCTTCCGCCTGCGGCCACCATGCTCCGGCCGGTCTTCGGCACTGGCGAGAAAATCAGAATGTTTATCTAGGCTGGAGGAATCCAATGAGCTATGAAGCTCTTTCTTTTTTTTTACTTACAGATGTCCGGTGAGTGAGGGTCGGAACGTTGTAACAGCAAACAATAGGAAAACACGATAGGAGTGCAACGTTTAGGAAAGGTGAACAACTAACTCTTTAAAAGAATACACAAATACAACGAAACGAATTTTTATCTTACCAGGTAAAGCGCACTGAGGTATGTAACTCTTTTTTCAAAAGCGACCCGGCCACAAATGATAGCCCAACGAAGTGGCTTATCACGTGGATATTTATAGCAGTAAAATAAAAAAATAATGATAAAATAGTTATATGAATAATATTACCCTTAAACCATAACAAATAATATAATCATAAAATAATAATATTGGTAGTACGATAACAAAAGAGTTGTGTAAATAATCTAATAATGATATAAATAACATACAATAATAACCTGGATAATATGATAATATATAATATGATACTAATATAGATACCATAATAATAAAAGAATAATATGAATAATACAATTATAATATAAATATGACTATATAAAGAGGGGGGGGGGGGGGGGACGGTCAGGCTGGTGACGGCACCGACGATTATGATCGTGGCGCTGTTGAAAATGCCGCAGATGGCCCCTGGTGGTGATGGCACCAGTAATTGTGATGGAATTGATGCTGCATACGTCTCTGCACTGCACGTAGCAAGTATGCCGATCGGTACTCAGTTTTTTTTAAAGGTAATCACATTTGATTAAATGTATAGCCCCTTTGTCAATGCACTGCTGGTTGAAGGCCTCACTGCAACCTGTCGGACTCGACAATTGTTCGACCATACTTCTCCGCAAGGGCCGGTGTGCCTTGGTGAAGGCGGGGTTGCCCCTGGACCGGTTTAGATATCGCTCGCCACCGGCGTTTGCCTGCGCCCGGGATGCAACCTTAGGTCGGCGGGTTCAAACTAGCGCTCCCTAACCACCGCGCCGCCTGTCCCTGTGAATCACCATGAAGTCACATGGCATGGAGACTCCGCTGGGGCATTGAGGGACAGCCGTGTGTGGGGGAGGGCGAAGTTGTTTGGAATTATTGCCCACTTCCCCGCCGGCTGTCACTTTCTCTCACAAGCGTAACGAGCGAGCGAGACAGCAGCTGCAACGCCTGCAAAGCAGGGACCACGACGGTGACTGGGGGGGGGGGGGGGGGGGTGCTTGGCGCCGTGCCGCTTTCCCCAAAAGATGTTAACTACCTCGCCTGGTATGCAGGAGGTCATGGGTTCGATCCCAACCCTGACGCCTGCTGCTGCTGTATATTTGGAATTTGCGTGTTCTCCCCGTGGTCGTGTGTTTTTTTTTCTTTCTCCGGGTCCTCCGATTTTCCTTTCCATATTTTGAAACGTCACGCGTTTAGACTATTTGACTGCTCTAAATTTCCACACGATGACGATGAGCCACTTCGTTGAGCTATCATTTGTGGCCAGGTCACTTCTGAAAAAGAGCTTCATAACTCAGTGGGGCCTTACCTGGTAAAATAAAAAAAAGAGTTTCGTTTTAGAACCTAAAAGCAGCACGGCCAGCGGTTCACAGGACCAAGTCAGATATCACTCGCCACAGATGTTAGCCGTGACCGGCAATCAAAAGTCTGGTCGCAGGTTTCGTAGCGCAGTGCCGCGAACCAATGCTGACCAGCTTAACCGCCGTGCCAGCACTCCACCACTCCAGCCCAACGTTCCGGGCCACTGGAACATCAGCGCCCTGAACATTTTGCTCTATCGGGCAGCGCGAGCGGTGAGCGTGTCGAGTGTCTTGATAATGAATCTCAGCTCGGCGGGTAGCCCTGCGGTTTATCAGGCGTTTGGTCTGCTGGCGGCCTCTCCAGAGCCAGTGGCGCGATGTCCCCGTTACTATGGCGGGAGCCAGTCTGTCCATGGGAACAACCACCGTTGACTTCCCACGTAATGTTCATTGACTGCATGGGAATGATTGGCTGAGTCACCTGCCACCAGATTCGAGCTCACAACTTTCTAATTTTGTTCTTCATAACAATTATAACGAATGGAGCAAGTTCACCATCCTGTACTGTCCAGTGTGGTGAAGTATGGTTAAAACTCCGAAAACCCTGATGCTCTGGAAAGGCCCTCATCCAGCAATGCAGTGGATTGACTAAGAGCTGTAAATGATGATGATTATGATGGCGATGGTGATGATTGTAAACAAAAGGTACTGCTATATTCTTGGTTCTTTTGGTAAAGTCACATAGAAGGGAAACAATAAAATAATAAAAATATAAAAAAATAAAAGGTACTGCTGTTAAATTATCTGGCCTATCTACTCAAACTTCCACGGCATTAACTTGCTGATCTTGTCAAGAAGCTAAAACCATCACGCAAACTTCAGTCATCCTCGCAGCGGCTTTTGGCAAGCCACTGAACAAAGATGAACACCGCATAGAGTGCTTTCAGATGCGCTTCTGCGGCCGTCTGGAACGCTCTTCCAAATATTAGGAAGACATGTACTTTTAAACCTAGATTGAAAACGAATTTCTTTAGAACTGCTTTTTGGTGTTTAGTTTGTTGTCCTTCCCCTGCACCTCCGACTAGAGCAGCTGGCTACATACGGTGGAAAAGAAGTTCAACATACAAACAACATACATGCATTCTCTGACACCGGAAACACGGCTTGCGTGGACGTGCGTACCTCCTCTCCTGCCACACTTGAGACCGACGTCGCTTTCCATCATCGTGAGATTCTGAAGCAGCTCTCTGTAAACGCGGAAACCAAGACGAGTACATTGAAATGACATGGATAAGCGCTTCGGCGGCGTCTGACCGAATGAATCGGTGTGGGTGCAGTCATCACAAGGGACCGGTAGTGACACAGCTTAAGAGGAGACTTCTCCCCAGTCATTCACTCCACAGCGGTCACCTGCCCCAACTGGACATCTGTGAAAAAGTGCTTCACATCGGAAATCGTGTACAGTAAAACCTTGGATTGCGAGTAACTTGGTCTTCGAGTGTTTTGCAAGACGAGCAAACATTTTAAATATTAATTTGATAAACGAGCGAGGGTCTTGCAATATGAGTAGTAGTATAGACGCTTTGTCTGTCGAGCGTCACGTGATCACAACTGATATACGAGTGCTTTAATATACGAGTGCTTTGGATTACAAACACGTTACCGGAACGAATTATGCTCGCAATCCAAGGTTTTACTGTAGCCGTTTTGCTCTCCTCTCCGCACCTGACACCACGTCAGGTTAGTTACAGCCCCGCCCACTCCCCCCCCCCTCTGCCCAGTCTCATGATCTCAGACATTATCGCACACGCAACGCTCCCCACCATCTCCTCATTCCCCCCCCCACCGCCCTCTCTGACCTATATAAACCCTCTTAACTCCGGCATCTCTCCCACGTCAGTAAAAAAAAAGATTATTGCTGTGGTTGTCACACCTGATGATGATTGCTTGTGTTGTAATCGAAACGTGATTTATTTATTTCTATTTTATTATATTATTTCTTATTACATTTTTTCACCTACGTGAAAAAAGAGTCTCGCATGGGATTCCTCCTGCAGTCTAAATAAATAATCTGATGCAATACTCATTATTAGTATTATTGTGCTCGTTCGCCCAGTAGAGCCTCACTGAGTCTCAAACCATCATTTACAGGAGGGTCCTGCCAAAGATTTTAGCTGTATGGGGGCGATGCTGCTGCTGTAATCCCAATTGAGTAATTTAAAGAAGATTTTTTTTTAGCAATGCGACTTTTGGCCAATACTGGCTACACTGCTTGCCTTTGTTTTAGCTATGTGGGAGGAAGCTGAACAATCTGATGGAAAGCCTTGGATTTTCGAATCTTATTCATCAAAATGCAACTGCATCTCAAGATGCTGTACAAGACAGTGGCACATGTTCATCATACAGATAAATGAGGCATTTGTAATATATGCTTAATATATTTCAGCCCCATCACCAACGACTGCACAAAAAAAATCACGTGACATTTGGATTGTCACTTAAGATGGCGACATTCCATATTTGAGACTTTAACATTCCAGTTTGATTGGTGTGCAATGAACACCTTTTCAGGGCAGATACAAGGTTAAAATTTTACCAGGTAAGGCCTACTGAGCTATATAGATCTTTTTCGGAAGCAACCTGGCCACAAATGATAGCTCAACGAAGATGGCTTATCACGTGGAAATGAAGTGCAGCCAATTACTCTTAACGCGCCTTGATTCTAAATGTGGAGGGAAAAACCGGAGGACCCAGAGGAAAATCCACGCGACCATAGGGAGAGACATGCAAACTCTAAATATGTAGGGGTCGGGATCAAACCCACGACCTCCTGTATACCAGGCGAGGTAGTTAACATCTCGCCACCATGACACTCAGGTTTGTCCCGAGTGTGGGTAGAGGGCACCGATCAAAGTGACCTCAAGAGCTAGATCTGAAACGTCATCTTCCAGAAACATTCTCTGACGCTGGGTGATGCAATGCAGGGCTACAGAGTTCTGAATGTGGAAATGTCTTATTTCCATGACATCACTAATCAATGTATTAATTAAAAAACGTAATTGACTAAATGAATGAAAGCGTTTGTACTCCAAAATAAATTTGGAATTTAATTCTAATATGCTGGGAGATATATCAGCTTAGCCAATGCAAATGTAATTTGGGAAAAGAGAACGGAATGATATGCAATGAAATTAGGAGCCAAGGGTGCGTGTGGGTGTTGTGCCGGACTGGGCGGAGGTCAGTGGGGGTCACCGTGTGGAGTCCCCTGCTCGCACGGCCGTGCAGAGGGATCGCGATGTGTCCCAGGCGCAGAAGGGGTCTCGGGCCAGGAGGCAGCGCTCACAGCCCCCGTGCATGGCACAGCCGTGCAGAGACAGCTGGGCCACGCCTGAGGAGGCCGCCACGTACAGCATGCCCTGTACGCACAGCGCGGGCACAGCGCGCACAGCAGAACCAACACGTTCACCTACGGCCAGGATACACAGCACACACGTGGCACAGCCGTACAAGACAAGGCTGCCACGTACAGCGTGCCCTGTACACAGTGGCACACACACAAACAGCACCACCGCCAGCACGTGCATGCATGCGTACACACGGCAAGACAACACAGAACGTGATTATGGCAACAATGATGATCGTGACGGTGACGATGACGATGAGCTCGGACCGTTCTCTCCGCGTTCCCCCGGCGGTACCGTGCTGGCTGACACGACGATGCTGAGGATGGATTCGTTGTGAGCGAAGAGCTGGGTCTGTGAGACGATGTGAGTCTTCCCGTCCACACGCACCGCCTTGTGTAACGACCCGTTTCCTGGCACAGCGACACAGGCACTCGCGGTGAGGAGTCACGGCGGCGGTGGCAGTGATGGTCGTGATGAGGATGGTGGAGTTGGTGATGATGATGATGGCAGGGTTGTTGATGGTGATGGTAATGTTGGTGATAGTGAAGGAGGTGATGATGATGATCATGGTGGTGATGATGGTAGTGGTGACAGTGGTGATAGCTGTGATAGTGATGTGCTAATGGTGTTGGTGATGGACGTTATGATGATGATGATGAAAGTGGTGTTTGCGATGGTGATGGTAGTGGTGATCCACGGCGATGCTCTATGGTTACGGTAGTAATTGTAGGGGTGTTGATGATCCATGGGGATTTTTTAAAGTGATGGATGCTGCGACGGCAGCCGGTGTTGGTGACGGTGGCGGTGATGTTGCCGACGAAAGCACCGCCGATGATCGTAACGTCGATGCCGGCGCCGCACTTACTGGTGCCCAGGTAGAGCACCAGGTGCGTGCGGTTGTCCAGCGCGGTTGCCGTGGCGGTCGCCACCCTCGTGTACGCGTGGCTGCGGCTCAGCAGCAGCGGGAGGCCTTCGCGAGGCCGCAGCGTCTCCTGCAGCCTCGGGTGGTCCTGCATCCACGCCAGGTAGTCGTCCGGGAGGTCCTGGGACGACTCGATACCGAGAGCCCTCAGTTTGGGAGTGATGCACTGTCGCGCGGAAAGAGGGGGGCAGTGGGGGGCACCAAGGGAGTTGGCGTGCTTACTTACCCACGACAACCACCCACCCATCAAGCGAGACCTCGGCCACGGACCTCGCTGCCAACTCGAGTGCCGATTCCTCCCTTTCGAGGTTTGCGCTGTCACCGTCCTAGAATCTCGCCCAGAATCCGGATGAACGCTCGCGAACAATTGTGGAAGAACGCGGACCATCCAGAAGGAACTTGTCATTCGAGGCGGAAACGTTGCACCTCCTGGCTTTGACATTCCTTCTCGTAGACACTGGTGGAACTATCGACCCTGTCAGAACATTAACAGGCCGATGCGCACATCTTTTACGAACGGATAATGTAAGAAAGGCCACAGTGTAACTGTTGTCACGATACCCAAACTACGTGAAAGTAAACTACTGTGGAATGCGCTCTGGTAATGGAGGAAAAGGAAAACTACAGGAACTCTCTCCTGAAGCCCTCTTGTGGCTAGCGTATCGCTACCGTCATGCACAGAAATAGAATATAATTCCCTTCGTGCAGTCTACGAAAGCTGTCAAACGTGCGGTCCACTCTGATATGTTTTTAATGTTGGTGCGTGGGTCATGCAACTTCTACCCCAAGTATTGTCAAGTCAGCCAATCGGTGAAGTCATTAAATGGTGTTAATATACGTATTTAGCCTTTTACTATGCTCCGTTTCTCTCGGTGCACCGCAGTCGATGAATTTCACTCAGTCATCTCGGTAGGCGTCTTCGTTCAGACTCGTGAACTTCATCTTCCCGGTCGTGACTCTGGTCTCCGGTGAGCGGCGGCAGTCGTCATAGTCGTCGTCACGCTCGACTCGCGGTCAGCGTCGACTCAAACAAACAAAACGTTGATGTTTAACACGTAGGCTTTCGCGACCAATATCATCCATAATAGAGGTTTTTTTGGGGTTAGATCGCGTAAATATATAAATGCGTCGTTAAACCCCGTCATCACCCGAGACAGCTAACTAGTAAGGGATGTCACTTAAACAGAACATGCCAATTCGTCACTAGTACAGCTGGCTGTCGCCTGATGAAGCTAGATGTAATTACTGGCGAAGCGTCGTACTCAGATTTTGAATGTTGTGGCTTGGCTCTCCAGCACACCGGTGTGCTGTACTAGTGACGAATTGGCCACGTTCTGTTTACGTGACATCCTTTACTAGTTGGCTGTGTCGGGTGGTGGCGGGTTCAACGACAAAACGTTGATGGATATTTTCGTCACTCATTTCGTAAACGTAATGAACGCCGCGGGAGCCGTGGCTGAGGAGGAGGCGGGGCGAGCGGTGACCCCACTCGCTCCCCGCCGCGTAGGGAGGTCGCGGCGGCGGTGGCGAGCTTACCGTGCCGGGGCTCAGAGCGACGGTTCTGGTGGAGCCTGCCGGCCCGATGGTGAACGATCTTTTAGGCGGCCGAGCGAAGGCCTCCTCCACATCGCTCAGCGTGTACTCGCAGACGGCCGAGTACGGGAGGGCTCCCCTGCAGGGAAACAGAGACGGCTGCTGGGACATGCAAGGAGAGACACTGGGGCGAGGGGCAGTGCAGGGAGAGACACTGGGGGCGAGGGGCAGTGCAGGGAGAGACACTGGGGGGTGAGGGGCAGTGCAGGGAGAGACACTGGGGGGTGAGGGGCAGTGCAGGGAGAGACACTGGGGGGTGAGGGGCAGTGCAAGGAGACACTGGGGGGCGAGGGGCAGTGCAGGGAGAGACACTGGGGGGTGAGGGGCAGTGCAGGGAGAGACACTGGGGGCGAGGGGCAGTGCAGGGAGAGACACTGGGGGGTGAGGGGCAGTGCAAGGAGAGACACTGGGGTCGAAGCTGGGATAAGTGGTCAGGTGCTGAACCGGCACTGCTGCGATCCTGTGTTCAAATCTAAGCTGCCTCCTGCATTTAAGCCGGATTCTCAAGGGTCGCAGAGTTGATGGTGTCAGCCTGGTCACCAATGGCTACCCTAAAAACCACATAATTGGTTCCCTACTTAATTGGACCAAATTGCAGCTCTGAGAATGTAAATATTGGTTTCACTGCCATATAATTAATGTGAGTCTCAAATGGCAAAGTAGATTGGGAACAGTCCTGCCTTCTATTGTGTAGACCGGAGGTCACCTGAAGGGATCTCAGAGGTAGCACTACGATATCCGCTTGCATGGAATATCCTCTAGCACGAGGAATTGCACTGCTCTGCAGTTAGATCTAAATGGGTTATCGAGACTTGGTGCCAATAGTGCAATCGGAATAGCGCACAACATGACGGCAAGCTGGGAGTGAGGCTAGCCGTTAATGTGTTTGTACGAAGCAATGCTTGCGGAGTTCCAAATGCAGGTGGCTCTTTGAAGTATAATCAATAACACATTTGCACTACACGGCAAATTAATATTCCCCATTTTGACTTATATCATCAGGAAGGGGATGCCTACAATCAAGGCTGACCCTGTGCCTCGCCTAGCTTGGCGACTGGGTCCGACTGCCCTCAACTCGGCCGCTTTTGATGGCGGTATCGACGTTGAATGCGTGTATGTATGTTGAACTTCTTTCGCACTGTACGTAGCCAACCACACTAATTGGAGGTGCGGGGGATGGACAAACTAAATAGAAAACTAAGTTCTAAAGAAATTAGTTTTAAATCTAGATGATTGAAAAGTGCTTCCTAATATGGGAACGAAGAGCATTCTAGACGGCCGCAGAAGCGCATCTGAAAGCGCGCGATGTGGTGACCGTCTTTGTTCGATTGCCAGCAGCCAAAAAGCCACTGCCGCTGCGAGGATGACCGCCGGAGTGTCGCGCGATGATTTACGCTCCTTGACAAGATCAGCGAGGTAAAGAATGAACTCCTACATCACCCGGGCACTAGTCGTCACGGCGGGGCCTCACCACTGCGAGGAGAGCAGGGCGTAGAAGCGCGTGTCGCCGTCGCTGGCGTCCCCGTGCCCGCCGGAGTGCGCGGGACGCAGGGTGGACACGTCGCGCAGGATGCTGAACGGCAGCTGCAGCTCGGCCACCGAGCACTCCAGCCGCAGCTTGACGAAGGAGGTCCACCTCTTCTGCAGCACGCGCTGCCCGCCACTGTCCCCCTGCGCACGGTTGGGACATCCGGTGCTTGTGGTTAACATGCAAACAAGCATGCTCTGATACTGATTGGCCGACACCACACCAAAGACATCAGCCTTCTTTAGGGCCTAGTCTCACCAGTGTCAGACCAGAGAACGCCAAAAGGTGAACAAAGACACAATATAAATTCTAGATTTGAAGCTTTCGTGACTGCAAGGATCCATACTCTTTGGTTCTATTCGGTAAAGTCACGTAGAGAATGTATATATTATCAGAGCATGTTTTCTTTGCATGTTCACCACAAGTACGTGCGGTTATTGTGGACTTGGTTCCTTGCGAAAGGTTTCTATTTGGTGTTTCAACATCTTAACACCTCCTGTTTTATTGCCACAAAGGGTCAAACCTATTCGTATTTTTTATGCTTTGATCCTGGCAAGAAGGTCCCATTTTGCAGCCCTACATACTTGCAAGCGCACACGCCCAAAGCCCCTGTGCGGATTAGGCTGCCGTCAATGTAGTCCACTGCTTGAGATATCCCTCAACAAACCACTGTGGCATTTGGCGAAATACTGTAAGTGCATTTACTACCCCAAAAGGCATTGCTTTAAACTGGTATGGGCCGCGTTGTGTCGTGGCGGTGATGGTCTTTTGTGGGTCCTCCTTGAGTGCCGGCAGTTGGCAGTAGCCCTTTTTTGAGGTTCAACCGGGTGAATTGCCATGAATCGCTCAGCTGCACAATAAAGACATCTACTCCACCCTATACATCAGCAAGGCAGCATCTGTATGTGTTCATATAAATCCTATTTTTCGAAATTAACTCATTCCACAGTCTCAATTAATACGTCTTAAATGGTATATTCTGAGTGGTTTCCCTCTTCAAAACCACATGCTGGATCCCTTCGAAATCGTTTGTACATTGCACAACATTATTTGTCTCTCCAGTTATTCTGACCCATAACCTTTAAGCTCCAGGTCGTGTGAGTGTTGTGACATCAGTCGGAGAAAATCTTCGAGTCATGAAGAACAAGGAAGAAGGGCAGGAGGATAGATGTGTAATCAATTCATAGAAGGAAACATATGTGGCTTGGGGAAATTTACAAAAGGGAAGGCTTGCTGAATGAAGGAAGTTGTCTAACTTGTACCAGTTAGACATCTAGCATAGGCATTGAACAGCCCGTTTTGTCAATCCACTGCTGAATGAGGGACTCCTTACACTTTGTAGGCCATGAGGGATATTTGGCCAAAGCCTCACCACACTTGCCCGGTGTCGGATGGTGTGGATAAGAACAACTACTTTTTCTGCACTGCCATCTTCTATAATTTGATAAATTTAGAGGAAGCTAAACGATCTGATTGGACGTAATGTTGCAGGGGAGGCCTTGCTGAATCGAAGATTTCAAAGGAAAGGATGCTGAGGAAAAGGTAACGAGGTAGAAACATTCGTTGCACGATGACTTGCTGAAAGTGCAGCCACAAACGCCTTTAGAACTGATTTCAGTGTTTGGTTTGTTGTCCATTCCCCACTACCTCCGATTAGCATGGTTGGCTATGTACGGTGCGAAAGAAGTTCAACATACGAACACCCACACAAAATGAAGAACAGGCTACACAATCTGACGGAGGAGTGAAACAAGAATCTGCCCTTAGGCAGAAAACTCAAAAGGAAGAAGATGATTAAATTCGCCGCATGAATGGTCTCTTTCAAGATCTAATGTGCACGAGTGTTTCACGTTTTGTTGAGACTTGGAACCAAGAGGGTGTGAGGTGGCTGGGTGGAGGGGACCCACCGTGCAGACGCGAGCGACGCGCGCCACCCGTGGCTGGAAGATGTAGTCGTACTCCATGGCCGTCTCGGTGAAGAAGAAGTACACGTGGCGGCCGCCCCCTCCCTCGCCGGGCTCCACCACCTCCGAGGCCACGAAGGTGGGATCTGTAACGTAGAGCCCCCCGCGCCCGGGTGGAGCACGCAGAACGGTTGTTTCAATCTCCACTCTCAATGTCATCATAGTAGGGTCCTGCAAGCTTTTTGTTTTCTATGAGGGGACCTGCGAATGTTTGTTAAAATGGGCATTCGGCATTCTCACTTCGTTGAGCTATCATTTGTGGCCAGGTCGTTTCTGAAAAAGAGCTATACAGCTCAGTGGGGCCTTACCGGGTAAAATAAAAAAAAATAGTTTAGTTTACATTTCAAGAGCGTCCTATCAATGGCCCTGCATTATGATGATGATGATCATCATCATCAGCCATGACCTATCTTCTGCGGGATGAAGGCCGCCCCAAGCCATCGCCACCTCTCGTGGTCCAGCAATGCAACAATTCAATCAGCCCCTGCACAGGAGCTGATTGTATCGCCCTATCTGAGATGCATGTAACCACCCTGAATGCACCTGATCTCGTCGGATCTCATAAGCCAAGCAGGGTTGAGTCGGGTTATGTACTTGGATGACCAACAGAGCTTGCCAGGGGTTATAGGCCTGGAGCTGAGGTGGCTCAGAGGTGTGTGGCAGGTTTTTTAGAGATTCTCGCATGAACCCAAAGGAATGAATGGAAATAATTGCTTTGAGGCATGTGACCTATTAAAAACCAGCCACATTGATCAAAGAGTTCACCAATACTTGGGAGACAAAAAAATATAAAGAAAGATAACTATTTGCAAACGTGTTTGGCCCTGACAGATAACCGTCCATACTCTTCTACAGAGCTGATTTAATTCGACACAGACGGGCCAAGTGCCGGCCTGATGTTTCCCAAACATGTTACGATGCATAAACGGGCATAGACGCGGCGCAGCATTCGTTGACGCATGAAGATCGGAGGTGTCGGCACTTTGCTGCCGTCAGCAGCCCTGTAGTTTTTGAAACAATGGTACCAGCAAGTCATGGAAAACAAAAAAAGACTACAAAAGACGGACAGGCGGTGCCGGCGTACTCCTGAGGAACTTGGCTGAGTCCTCCGTGCGGACGAGGGTTTGCGAAGCTGAGCTGCGGCAGATGCCTGGGTTCCTCCCCAGGAAATCTCTCATGGTCGCCGAGTAGAGGTCCTCGTCTGCAAGAACGAACGGCATTGTGTAAGTTAGCGGTGGGCCTTCAGGGTCGTTTGATCACACACTATTTCACCATGCTGGTGAGTAATGGATTGGTCACATGTCACTCACCAATGCAGTTAGTTATAGATGGGAATCGAACAATGGTCGTTGTGTTCATACCGCAGCGTGCTAATAACTGCGCCAACACTCCCCACACGCATGGCCATTAATCGGCACTAAATCAAGGGGCATGGTGACTCCATTAAGTGACAGTGGCATAAGGGCGACGGAAGAGCGAGGCTCAGTCTAGAATTATTGTTGTGTCCATCGGCTGTCAGGTCCCCCCCCCCGTCCCCAGCGTGACGAACGAGCGAGACAGCAGCTGCAGCAGCGCGTAAACGACTCGGGGCGCGACGCAGACCGGTCGGGGGTGGGGATGGGCAGTGGCATGGGCGGCTGGTTAGAGTTTAAATCGGCGCAGTGGGGCGGATGTCGGGGGAGGGAAGCACAGCAGATGCTCTCACCCACGAGCACGGAGGAGAACGCCTGCGCCGGGTCGTACGGACACTTGTCTTTACCGCTCTCCATGCCGAACGCGTGGCCGCTCTCCGGGTCCTGGGTGTGAGGAAATTCACCGGGACGTGGCAACACCGGCCCCCGTTACCCAACGCAACCACACGCCGTTGCTCACCGCAGCCACACGCGGTTTGCTCAACACAGCGATCACAGACACCGATATATTCGTGCGCGAGTGTGCACGTAGGCGCGTGCATGCATGCGGCAGATGGTGCTCCCGGAGGTTCCCACTCACAAAGTGCGCGCACAAAGGGCTGAAGGCGCCGGTGCCGCAGGCCAGCAGGCGCGAGCCGTTGAGGTGCAGCGCCCGCACGTGGTTGTGGCACTCGTCCTGCGGGAACACCAGCACGGGGGTGATGACGCGCGGGGACTAATGTCAATTTAGTCGGCGCCCTTGATTTTAGTCTTGGGTCTAGTCGACGAATTATATTTCACTCTGTGGTCCGTGCATTTCCCTCGGTCTCGAATAACGTTGCGACATCATCTTAGTCTGCATATTAATTTAATCTCGCAGTCAGTCGTGGGTAGTTGTAGTCGTTGTGCTTGATGATTTTCATCTGTGGCTATAACCAGGGCTTATTTTTTTTCTGTGAATAAGCACGTGGCAAGCAGCCAGAGCTTTAGTTAGGGGTATGTTAGACTTAGTGTGCCGGGTACACATACAATTGAAATGAAGCTCTGGCTATAACATTGGTATACCATCCTCCCCGCTACATTTACAATCGCTTATGTCCACCTAAGTCTCTGGCTTTTTTCCCACTTAAAAAAAAACATCAACAGTTTCTGCTACCGAGTGTGTAGGCGGTGCAGCTGCACCAGTCCCCACGGGCTGTGACGAGCCCAGGAGCCCAGGGGCTGACCTAGACGAGGGAGAAAATTGAAGATTGGGAGCCCCATTGAATTGGACATCTGTGAAAAAGAGCTTTCCTGTATGGCTAATTGGATTCCTCCAGTACAAACAAATGTTCCGATTCTGAATTCCTTGCACGAGGGCCCATGCCAACCACACCACACCACCGAAATGTCTCTCTCGGCTTCCCCCCAAACACGCCCAGTTCATTAAACGCTGGTTCTCGGCAGCAGATTCATCATGGGCACGGAATCGCATTAATAGGGGACGGGGAGGCGGGTGTCAGGAGGCGCATAAAACAATATATTGAGATAATAAATAACATGAATTGCTGCATTTACAAAGTAATAGCGTATGTAAAAATAAATAGACTTTTTCACCATTATAAAAACCCTACATGCGATGCTGCCTGTGTCGTAGGGGCGCCAGTGAACCTCGAAGGCTGCGTTGGCAAGTGACTGACTCACCTCCGTCCTGCCTTTACTCCTGCAGTCTTGCTTGGAGGCATCGTTCGCCTCCCAAGGGATCTGTGGGCGCACGGCAAAGGGGGGCACGCTCGCTTGTGGACTCGAGTTGTCTTCTCATTCTCCCGAGTGGAACGTGTTGCCACCCTCGTGACGGTTCAAGGAGTGGGGAGCAGCGGTGGTGGAGCGGTGAGCGCGCTACACCACGAACCCCGCGACCCAGGTTCGATTCCGGTTCACGGCCAACACCAGTGGAGATTATCTTGGGCCTTCTCGAGATCGACTCAGCCTCAAAAGAGTACCTGGTGCGGTGTGTAAACATCGCCACTCGGGAGACAAAGGCGATTCGGGCGTGGTGCTGGCCACTCACCCCCCCCCCCCCCCTGTGTAACGTGCCGGCCGTCATAGGTGTTACTCGCTAACAGCACTTCCCCCAACAGTCTGTTACAGGCTATACGGGGCATCTTTGTCTTTGTTGGTGGGCAGATTAGTAAGTAGGCAAGGCCTAGTGAGCAGCAGACAAGTTGACAGAGGCAGGGGCTGCCAGCTCACCAATGTGTCCTGGTTGAGCCTCATGAATGTTGCTCGCCTTTGACGTACGCACGTTGAACTTATTTTGCAGCCTACGTAGAGCCGACTTCTTTCGCACCGTACGTAGCCAACCGTGCTAATCAGATCTAGGAGTTCGTGGCAGCCGTATTTATAACTCCGAGCAGGAGTCCCACCTAAGCGGACGCCATCGCCGAGGGCGGTGCTCTGTGGAGCCCTTCTGAGCAGTGCTCCACCCGAGACTGGCGACTGAAGACGTGAAAGGTGGAGCTGTGTGATGCGTTACAGGTGGAGCTGCGTTACCACGAGGCTAGGATTCAAGCTGACGTTGGCGGCCGTGAGGCGCAGCACGGCTCCACGCGCCCCCACGAACAGAGCTCCACGCTCGTGCTCCAGCAGCAGCACCGAGGCGCCCAGGCCCGGCTTGAGGAAGCGCTCCACCCCCCGAGATTCTAGACGCACGGGACACGGAGGTGGGAGCGGGGGGGGGGGGGGGGGGTACAAATTTCATCGCACACCGCGCCTGCGTGTGTCCGTGTCCCCGGCGGCGTAGCGGTGGGCGATACGAACCTGGCGACCTCCGTTTGATGTACGCTCACGGCCGACGTAATAAGTTGAACCGATCCTGAGTCTCCTCGAGGTCAACTCAGCCTTAGACGGGTGGTGCCCGGGTGCAGTGTGTGAGCATCACCGCTGGGGAGACGAAGGCAGTCCGGGCGTGACTGGCTGGCCACCCGGCCCCTTCATGTGCCGTGCCGACCTTCAGGGGTGCACGCTAACAGCGCTTGCCCCAACAGTCTGTTTCGGGCTATACGGGGGGAATCTATTGCCTTTGCGATCTCAAACTGTCACGGGTGAAGCACGTTTGTCATCATCCACTGCTGGATGAGGGCCTCCTCGCCCACTTCTGTTTTCGGCCCGTGGGGGTTACGGGGACCCAGATTTGGCAGGCCGGTGCCGCTCGGCGTGAAGCCGGGGAGCCCAGACGTGGTGTACTGCGCAGAGAAGTCATTTAGAACTGCTTGTTTAGTCTGCTTTGGTCCTCCCCACAGCACCTTCGATGAGCAAGGTTGGCTATGTACGGCCCGAAAGAAGTTCAACGTAAGTACGGCGCAACGATGGCTGTCGCTGCACTCCACCGCTGTCTTCGCCATCAACAAAATAACAACATATTTGTTTTTTAAAAGTTAAAAATATATATATAATCAGGAACTCCATTGGCATTTGTGGCTGAGCACAAATAACATAATAACTGCATTCGTTGTCAACACTTCAATACCTACATGAAAGTCTAACATATCAGAGTGTACAGAAAGCAGAAATATTGTATGCGTATAGTTGGAGATCATATTGCGTGTTTTTTTAGTGCCTTAAACTGTTCGAGTGGCCAAATGAACACGTTTAAACAGTTAATATAAATCAATGGAAACCTGGTGAGTTCTGTTGCACGTGTGCACAGTTTTCACACAAGTGGTGTATGAGCCAAATTGTTAAGGGTACGTTTAATTCACAAAATCAGACGTTCGGAGGACAAGAGGAGATCATGAGAGGTCACTTTCGTTTCTGTCCTCAGAAGCGCGCCTGCTCGAGCCATGGCGTTAGTCATCCACAGAATTGTGTGATCATTATTTTGGTCAAGCTCTCACACACACAATAACTCATTCACCAAGCCATGCTGGCTTTCACAGGTGCTCGCTAACAGCACCTGCCCCAACAGTCTGTTAAGGCTGTCGGGGCAGGTGCTGCGGGATATTTGTCTTTGCGTGAGTGTGTAAATGTGGGAAGCGGTAGTGTCGTGATGAACACACTTGGCCACGAAGTCGGCCAACCATTATGAGACCTCCTTTGTCAGTAACAAGATATAGGAATAGGTTTTACCCTTTTAACTGGCACTAATCATTGCAGTCACGAAAGCTTTAAATCGAAACCTAGTCTCCATTGGTGTTGGTCCAGAAGACGCCAAAAGGCGTACAACTCAAAAACAGCGCACTATCAGAGTTTTGAGGGCTCGGGGTGAGCATTTACATTATGAGACCTCCTTTGCCAGTAACAAGATATAGGAATAGGTTTTACCCTTTTAACTGGCACTAAAACGGACACCTTTATTCAAGGCATCAGTTAAAAGGGTAAAACCTATTCCTATATCTTGTTACTGGCAAAGGAGGTCTCGGCCAACCAGTTAGATTCCCACTCACGGCAAAAACCAGTGACGATTGTCTGAATCGGTTATGGCCTCACCTATGTCGATCACTGTTACATTGTTTTTATAGCTTTATTTTGGTGATTTTGAAAACTTTTTGGCTTAGCCATGTTTGTTTGTTGTAGTACAGAGTTAGCCTGATAACTTTAAATTGTTTTATGGTTGTTATTGTTTGACTTGCATCCCACTGGGATTTTTGCACACAGCGTTGAAATACGGTGCTTTTCTGGAAGACTTTGCTGTTTTTTCCTGGATTTTTCTGTTGCGCGTAGTCACTTTAAGATGTTTCTTGTTCACGTTTTTGTTTGTTGCGGTTGCACCCGAGTCAAGAGCCGCATGGCTCACAGGGCTATACCTAATAAATTAAACTTAATAATATTCTTAGCTCTTTCGGTAAAGTCACGTTGAAGGGAAACAATAAAATAATAAAATGCGTTATGGTCGAAACGTTGTGAGAATTTTTATTGTTTTATATATATTTCATTATTTAAAGCTTTCGTGACTGCAGTCACGAAAGCTTTAAATCGAAACTTAATTAATTAATCGGAATAATTCGGTTACTGGGGCAGGGGGAGTGGTGTTGTTGCTGCAGTGGTTATCGCAGTACCCCGTGAAACCCAGTGAAGTGAGCTCATTTCCCAGCCGTGGCGAGAGATGTCTGATCCAGTCCTGGGACCTAGAGTACAGATGAAAAATGTGGATCATCCATTCGGTACTCCCTCTTGGCCATGGGGGAGGCCTTCAATCAGGTCGTAAATTGGCAAAATAAGGTTATGAATAATAGTTTTTACTTCGTTATAAAACCATTAAAAGTGCTTTCAACCTCATTGCGGATGGTATTAGCGTGGCTGTCTAAGTGTTTCCTCTGGCAGTGGAAACAAGGGCTGGAAAAAAAAGCGTGCGGGGGACCATTTTCCACTTACGGGTGAATAATCAGAAAAAACGCTTGGGTAGAGAGCGGGGAGAGTGATGGGTGAGTCACAATAAAGATGACTCAGTGTTGCTGGGCTGTGACAGGTATTCAATGTGTACTGCTAACAACATTCAATATACAAAATATGTATTTGCATGGAGGAGACATTTTCAAGCTGCAAATTAATTATTTCTGTATCTGTTTTAAACGAATGATCGAATATCATCTGCAGCCCCTTTTGTCAACCCACTGCTGGATCAAGGCCCCAACGCCGTGTTGGTCACGGGGGGTTTTTGACCACACTGCACCACGCTGCTCCGTGTGGCTTAGTGGAGGTGGGTGGGCCTCAGGTCACTGGCTTCATAGAGAAATGCACGAATCGCGTGTTTTGCACTGGATTATAATCAAGAACAGCTCCGTGACATTCACTTAGAGTGCGGTAAAAAAACTGCATTTTAAAGGAAGTCGTTAACGATTTCAAATGTAACCCTGACTCGCTATTTAAAATATTTCCGCGAATTACTAACGCTCGTCGAGTGGCTGCAAATGTAATCTGCGCGATTAATTATTTACAGTCGGGGTTTTACATGCGCAAGACATCCTCAAATGTGAGCCTGTTAAACTCGGCTTTTCGGTCATTTAAATTATGACTTTTTTTATCCAGTGCAGCCTCGCTGGGTCTCAAGACTCGTTATCAGGAGGGTCCTGTGTGGAGATGTTTGCCAAATGTCATTCAAGAGTATTGATCTGTGAGAGAAAACCAGAGTGCCCGGAGAAATACTCTTAATATTTCAGGGAGGGGGGGGGGGGTGTAATGATCAAATTTCCGCTCAGATCCATTAAATCCATTACTGTGCTTCAATCTCCTGGCCACCTTACATCCCCGTGCCTGGAATTCCCATTGGCAGTGACTTCATGCCAGTATTTACCAGGCAAATAATCCCCGCTTAGCTTGTCAGATCTGGCATGCCATGGCACATCAGATTGATTGGGTCGCAGAAGACCAAGTATTGCCCCTGTTAAAAGGGAGTTATCATGAACTTCCACGTACTGGGAAGTCATCATTGGTGTTTGTCCATTTACTGAGAACTTTACATGTTGGAGGAAACTGAAGGGAAAAAAATGTAAAGGCGCAGCCCTACAATTGTTTTCTCGCTCCACTGCTGACGTAACGGCCTCCACTAGAGCGAGTTATAGAGATCCCCCCACCTAGAGTGTGTTTGGCCTACTCTTCCGCACTGGCGAGACGTCGTGTAAGAGGTGGGACTACCTTAACTTTTCATCATCTTGCTGAAATAGACCCACACATTCCTCTACCACATGCAACCTTTTTTTTTGGTTTAACGCGTAGGCTTTCACCAGACATAGCCAATTGATGAGCTTCGTCACGTAAATAAAAATGCCAATTAGTTACTAGTTCAGCATACCGGTGTGTTGGAGAGTGAACCCACAAAATTTACAATTCTAGAACGACATGTCGCCGGTAATTTACGTGGCTTAACACACACAAAAAACTCCTATGAATAACATTTTTTTTTCTTCAAAATTTACCCGATAAACTCCACTGAGCAATTCACTCTTTTCCAGAGGCGACCTGACCACACGTTCATCGAAGTGGCGTATATCATCAATTACCATCATATGTGGGAATTTATAGCAGCAGCCAAATAATCTAGACGTTTGTTTCTAAACGTGGAGGGCAAAACCTGAGATCCGGGGGAAGAAAAAAAACGAACGCAACCACAGGGATAGAGGAAACACGCAAGCTCCAAACATACAGGCGTTGTCAGGGTCAGGATCGTACCCACATATTTCCGCGTACCAGACGAGGGAGATAACATCTCGCCACCATGGCGCCTTTACCTGCCCATGAACTTCCTGGATGCATTTTACTCGTAGGAAAAAGACTTGAGTGTAGTTACCAAGGAAAACTCGTGTGCACAAGCCTATAACACAAAATATACACAGATGTGTTCGCAACCTACTTGCTGTATTGTCAAAGACTGGCCACGTCAGAGGTCTGTGCGTTTGTAAGTTGGACTTTTTTCGCACCGTACGAAGCCAACCGTGCTAATCGGAGGTTTTGGCAGAAGGACGACAAACCAAACACAAAAAGCAGTTCGCAAGAATTGGGTTTTCAACCGAAATTTAAAGTTGCATAGCTCCAGTGGCTTCCTCATATCGAAAGGGAGGGCGTTCCAGACGGCCGCAGCACCGCACGCCTGAAAGCATGCGGTGCTGTGACCACCGACTTTGTTCGACGGCCAGCCAACAGTAAACGTTGAGCCATCGCACGCTGATCAATCTTCGTGTGATCTACCACTCCCTGGATCGCACAGCAGCACCACGGGTTGACTGCGTACGGCGTGAAAGAAGTTCAACAAACGTACGTAACCGTAACTGCATCTGGCTCGCTGTGCGGTAACTTTGTCTCCGGACGGTGAAGTGACGGAGAGATGGGCGAACGTGTTCCCTTGTGGTGTGGGGGTGCAGCAGTGTGGGGGGTGGGGGGTGGGGGGGGGCAGCCTACCCTGCTGCTGGTGCTGCGCCGATGGGTGAACCTCGATGTCGCTGAACCCGTGTGACATCACGAGCGTCGCCGCCGTCGCCAGCACCACCCACGCAGCTACGGACAGTGCCGCCATGGCCGAGCAGAAAAGCACGCGGGCAGAGGACGGTGGACCTGGAGCCGTGGGGCGGTGGGGAGGAACGGGCAGGGGGTTGTGGAGAGAGAGAGGGGGGGGCGGGGGTGAGTTTATTGCAGTCGGGCGACAGCACGGCCTCTTTAGAAGCAACGTTCCCTCGTCACGCGCCATCGGTCGCTTGGCGTGAGGGTGTCCGTTTTAAATTGGGCAGCTTCCTGGCATCCTGCGGCGAGCAAATCAATCAATGGATCAATCGGTGACCCTTTTTTGTATTTAAAGCAGCTGAGAGGTCGCTAATTTACATTGTTTCCTTTCGCAAAGGAAGACCCGGGCCACCACTCAAGACAGTCGTTCAGCGAGCTTTTGTTTATCAGCAAATAGAGTGATGATGCAGTTTAGTTGTAAATGTTTACATGTTGGACCTGGGCTCAAGTGCAATCGGCTACTTTTTTGTTTCCTTTTCTTACATGTTTATTTACAATTGTGCTCTTGGCACCATGTTTATAAGATGACGTGTCCCACCCTGTGTTAGAGAGTGGCCTGTGGAAGAAGGTATCATAAACTACTTTCTGACATCCATTTAAGTGACCTATTTGTGCACCTTACCGGGTGCTGCACACATCATTATACAGAGATAAATGTCCGTCGCGCGGAATGTTTTATTTTTCTTACAGAGCTCGAAATTAGATCAATAAATTAACGAAATCAAATTTGACACGTTTCTGCTGTACGGCTATTCTTTAGCCGGCCGAGACCATAAACTTCCAACAACGTGAGAACCCCATTTAACCAAGGGGTTGCTGGCCAGATTCACACCCAGGCTCTGAACGTTGCCGGTTCAGTTGCTCCGACCCCGGAGCAACCCGGCCACTCCTCGCGGCGACTGCCGCTGTGCGTGCCGTCACGGCGAGAGCAGATGGCAAGCTTTGGCGAGAGAGCATCCCCGTAGGAATGAACGGGAGCAGCTGGAGCCCGATCGAGCTGTCAAACTCTGGCGCCGTGGGCCCCGGTGGGGAGCGAGGGCCGGTTGTTGTTCTCCTCACGCGGTTGGCCAGAGCGCCCTTTGTGACGTGTGGGGGAGTCGGGACTCTCGCGTGTCAGTTACACAGCGTGAGGTCGTGGCCAGATGTATTGACTTGCGCGACAGCGTGTTCACTCTCATGGAAGCGCAATCTTCAATGCTGACGCTTGGTTGTTATTGTTCGTTTGTTGCTGGCCACTCGGCATTTTGGACAATTTTGGCACCTGTGCTCTCAGCAACCGTGAGAAAAAAAAACATTTAAATTGTCATCCGCCGTGGGTGAGTTTTATCCGGCGGGTGAGTAGGCGTAGGAAAACGGAACGCCACTGAATCATCCTCCGACGCGCGATTGGCCGGATTTGATTGTCCAGGGTGAAAAGCCGCCTGGAGTTGGTGGGACGTGGGAGAATTCATTCGCAGCTTCGTTAGACCCTCCTACAGTCAGTCATGATACCGGCCTCCACGTCATCTGTTACACATGTAACCATACATGGTTTTGCTAATTTAACAATGTTCCTTTTGATTTAAAGCTTTCGTGACTGCAGTAATTCATATTCTTAGCTCTTTCGGTAAAGTCACGTTGAAGGGAAACAATAAAATAATAAAATATATAAAACGATATATATATTTTATTGTTTCCCTTCAACGTGACTTTATCGAAAGAGCTAAGAAGAGGGGGGGGGGGGGAGGGAAATTATTTAAACAAACCGCAGCTTCAATTTATATTTCCCTTCTCCCGCACAGAGCCGTAATAGATTTATTGGTCGTGGTGACGTCAACGGAATGCATTATCTCACTCCCCGACGCACATATGCCACTGTCAGAAAACCGTAATGCGAAAGCTGTGTTCGTGGCACTGTGGGGGCCGCAAGCCAACCAACATAGGGAACTCGGAACCTGGCTGCAGCACGGTGAGGCACATTGTGCGTTGCGTAGCGTGCAGGCCACTCGCTATGTAGAATGTGTGAAATGCACGTGTCCGGGTGATCCAGTGGCTCGGAGCGCTGCAAATATCCTTTTGAGCTTGAATCCGTATTTCGGGCCACCCGTGATTCAACTGGGTTCTCGCGTGTGGCGAGTTGATGGTCTCAGTCCACTCTACTATGATTGTCAACTCACATTGAAAACCGCATCACGTTAAACGCAGTTTTTGACTCAGTTTATTAGAAATTGAGACTCGGAACGTATAAAAAATGTTGGCTTTATTGCCTTTTGATGAGCACACTTTGCAGGGCATATAAAGAGAGTACCCCTCGTGTGGACAAGAGGAGTTTAGTGAAGTAATTTCAGGAGTAGTTCTCTGACGTAATCATTGACAAAGTGTGATGCACTGCTGGCTGTGAGAGTTCCCGATGACACGCCGTCAATGTTGACGCGGAGAGCACGTTTGGGAATTATATATGGAACAAAACCAAACTACGGTACAGTAACATGGATGTACACTTCAAATAACGCCACACACGCAATGTGAGAATGAGCAGGTTTGCAATCGTGGCCAACGCCGCTGATGCCACCCTTATTCCAGATTCCGCAGCTGCTGCTAAGTGACACGTGACCTCCAAGATCAACCCATACGGTATCCCACCATCTGCTCTTAGGTCTTCTCTCCCCCTTGCTCGCTGAACTCACGGAGACCGCTCCAGTGTTTCCTCCACCCTGTACACGTGTCGCAGGATCGACACGACTCACTGCCACGTTATTCTCTCCCTGACTGCTGTGTGGCTAATCCTGTCTTGCCATGAAATTACAAATGGACGGGGTCCGTGACTGGGGCCTTTGCTCACTCAAAGCATGCTTATTGAACCTAACGTTTGGCTTATGTTGTAGCCCTGTCAATCCCTTTATGCTACACGATAGAATATTAACAGCGGTTGACTTCGTGAAAGAACAGAGTGACACGTGCGAGTCTGTACACACAGGGGATGTAGCGGTCGCACAGTGGCAAGCGTCATACTATGAACATGGCCACCTGAGTTCAAGTCTATGTCTTGGCTAAGCTAGTGGGGGAGTATTATCAAATTTAGTTCTTGGGTCCCCCCTCCCCCGTCTTCGACTTACGGTCAAAAAAACATTGTATAGGGAGGCCTTTATTCAGCAGTCGATTGACAAAGAGGTGTACGGTATTTACGTTCATTGCACTTCTTCCGCACTTTACGTAGCCACCCGCGCTAATCGGAGGTGCGGGTTGCCAGATATTTTTTTTATATTTTCCATACATACCTGTGCAGTACTGTACATCGAGAAACCTGCACACTCTTGTCCCTACAAGAGACTTCACACGCACCATACGCGGGGCGCAGTTGCAACGGGTTCTGTTCGGCACACCACATCCGGTGCGCCGCCCGCTATGACTTGCGGCTGCTCTGTAATGACAGCGCCGTCTAGTCCACTCTACCAGCGACCCCAAAAAAGAAACATTCGGTGAATAACGAAGCCCTGACTTTGTTAACCCTGCCGAGGCCCGTTGAGGGGTTTCTATTTCCTGAAGCCACGGACGCGTGAGCGAGGAAGCTTGCCGCTCCGCTGCAGTCGCGTCGACCTCCAGCCGTGAACTATGAGATGGCAGTGGGCAGCGTTGGTTTGTTAACCAGCATTGGGTTTTCCAGCGAGCGCTGCAATCCGCACGACCTCGCTGCCACCCAACACCACGGGCCTTAACACGGCCGATAAATCCGGCATGAACGCCGGGGCCAAGGGGAGCCTACAAGGTCCCATCGTCCTCGTGCTGCTGGGCCTGCCTTCAATTTGGTAGAGCATTTGGCTGCTTTAGAATTTCCGCGTGATCATGGAAACTAAATCTCGCGTGACTACAAAAAACGCAAAACCGGGTGGAAACGTGCAGTCCGTTCTACTATAACGCGGAAGCAATTGCGTTCTTGAATAACACCGCGCTGTGGAACAATCGCGTTATAAAAAATCATGTGTAACGTAGGGTAAAACACAGTCCGCGATAGCACATGAGATGCATACGCAGACTGAACAAAGACCGAGGTGCGTGGCTAGGATCTAGAAGCATCCAGCAGCATCCCGCCTTGTGGGATGCTACGCCGAGGCAGCCACACAGCCGCCGATTCCTACTCGCGCGACGTAGTTCTGTTCGCTCGATCGCGGTGCATCCGATTCTCGCCCGCGTTGTAACAAAAATGCATTCCCTCAAAAGTCCATCGCGTTGTGTTACAATTGGCGTCGTGAAAACACCACGCGGCGTTACAGGAGAACAGAATGCATTTAAGGTCGTGACGCGATAAAAACAAAATCCCCGACGCGGAAGTTGGTCGGTGTCTGGCGGTCGGCACGGTGGAGCGACGGCTCAAAGAGAGCCCAAGTCCTGAAGCGCCTTCACCTTCGCTCGAGGGAAGCGCGGAGGAGCTGCGTTGGTGCCGAGATGGCTTTGCAAGCTCAGCTCTGATCAAATAAAAAGTGAGGGGGCAGGAGGTGAGAGTGCTGAGCTGGCACCGCTGAGATCCTGGGTTAAGATTTGTGGCAGCTGCGTGTTACTCAGCCTCGCCACCAGTGACAAATAACATAATTTTCCTTAAATTTGGTTCTGGATTTTTGGCTAAATTCCAGCTCTGAGAATTCAAATATCGGTTGGAATGTCCGGTGACAAACATGACTCCCATGCATAGCAGATGGTCAAGTTTGTGCCCTGTATCGTGTGGACCAGAGGTCAATTGAATGGATGTCAGAGGTAGCTCTGTAGTGTATGCTCCGTGGGTTGTTGTCGAACACGAAGGGTCGCACTGTTGTGCAGGAGAATCAATCAGATACTTCGTCTTATGATGTACAAAATATGAAATTTACCTGGGTACAGATTTTAAAATATATATTTTATGCATTTATATAGCGCCTTATTCCAAGGCACTTTTCAGAAATGATGAAATTGTATTTAAGATTATAGTGGCTGAGATAAAGAGTGGGGTTGTTATTAAATGTGGTGGTGTAGTTATGGTGACAGGAGAACAGATGGGGAGGAGTTAAGGAGGGGTTGCGGTAGGGGTAGAGTTAGTAATAGGGGTAGTGATAGGGGTAGTGATAGGGGTTGGGGTAGTGATAGGGGATGGGGTAGTGATAGGAGTAGGGGTAGTGATAGGGGTAGAGATAGGGTTTGGGGTAGTGATAGGGGATGGGGTAGTGACAGTGGTTGGGGTAGTGATATGGTTGGGGTAGTGATAGGGGTTGGAGTAGTGATAGGGGTTGGGGTAGTGATAGGGGATGGGGTAGTGATAGGGGTTGGGGTAGTTATAGGGGTTGGGGTAGTGATAGGGGATGGGGTAGTGATAGGGGTTGGGGTAGTGATAGGGGTTGGGGTAGTGATAGGGGTAGTGATAGGGGTTGGGATAGTGATAGGGGTAGTGATAGGGGTTGGGGTAGTGATAGGGGTAGGGGTAGTGATAGGGGTTGGGGTAGTGATAGGGGTTGGGGTAGTGATAGGGGTAGGGGTAGTGATAGGGGTTGGGTAGTGATAGGGGTAGTGATAGGGGATGGTCTAGTGATGGGGGTTGGGGTAGTGATAGGGGATGGGGTAGTGATAGGGGTTGGGTAGTGATAGGAGATGGGGTAGTGATCGGGGATGGAGTAGTGATAGGGGTTAGGTTAGGCCTGGCCCTGGCTGGGGGATGGGGACTAGGAGTCACGGTATCATGGCCATTGCTACGCAAATATTTCCTCATGGAGCAGGGTATTTCACTTGCAATAACGGGTAGGCGTTCATCACTCTGAGTGGGAGTGTCGGTTTCAACTGCCTGGTATTTTGTAACCTTTATCAGGCCGCATAACGCCGCACAGACTCCTCTATGTCTACAGCTACGGCATCCGGCAGCAGCAATAGCTTGCAGTGATCGCTGTAACTACTCAACCACCCAGTGACGTGATGAATACGTCACAATTCGGAGCGTGATATTTTTTTTCAGTTGTTTAACGAAAGCATCGATTCCTTTTTTTTTTGTTCTAATATATTGCGGTCTGCAACGTCGGTCTCCTGCGTCATGGGCGACTCATGCCTGCGGTCCGTCTGTCCCATGTGGAATCTGTGCAAGCATCGGCGCTGTCCGTTTTAATTTCTATTGACTCATTGGGTCTCCGTTGCACCAAGTTATACTTTCTTTCTTTGTAAGTGTTGTCTGCCCCATGCAGTCTGTTTTATGTGTGCAGCCTATCTTGTGTGTGCTGCCTGCGTCGTGTGCTCCATGAGACTAAATGTACAATCATCATGGAATTTGTAAGCACTTAAATAGTAGATTATTTACACACATTATTTAATTCAAGTATTGTGAGCTAAATAATCTATTTTCATTAATTAATTGATCCATCGAGGGATAACGATGCCTCATTGCCACTTACCCATGCTCCTAAAACAACATTATCCACAACTGAAAGCTTACATCTCCGCTAAGTGTGTCCTCAATGATCAAAGGACTCAGCGGAAATGAAGACTCATGTCAGCCGCATGCCTGAGGAGTTTCGTGACATTGACATTCCACCTTTGACCTGTAAACAATACTGGCAAATTCGTAAATGCACCATCAGTAATTTAGATCAATTATTTGAAACATCTGCAAAATTCTCCTCAATGATACCATGTAACAAATTGTTGTTGTCCTATCTTTGTTTCAATGTTGATACTGTGCCTCCCAATGCGGAATATCTCAAGGCGCCAGAGCAATGGGGCACTTGAGGCAATCACTCACTCAGGATGTGATGGCAGAGCAAATGCGCTGTTCAAATATTTGAAGTCTGCGTCTTCTCTCTCCCCGTGGTCGCGTCGATTTTTTTCTTCCTCAGGTTTTTCCCTCCACATTGAGAAACGTGCATTGAGATTATTTAGATTATTTTTTGCTGGTATAAACTTGCACATGACAAGCCACTTTTGTTGAGCTATCATTTGTGGCCAGGTCGCTTCTGAAAAAAAGTTAATACCTGAGTGGGCCTTACTTGGTTACATAAAAATGTAGTTTAGTTATATTTGTTTATATTTTTGGTGATTTGTTTACTTTTCCTATACTTTGCAATCCGACCGTGCTGTTGTACTGTTTGTTGTTGTAACATTCTGACCCGCCCCTACTGGACATCTGTGAAAAAGAGCTTTATAGCTCATCGGATTCCTCCAGTATAAATAATAATCCTGATTCTAAAATCTCGCTGCGCTAACGCCGTGTCCTCACACCGATGTGTGTCCTCACGTCGATGTGTGTCCTCACGCCGAGGTGTGTCCTCACGCCGATGTGTGTCCTCACGTCGATGTGTGTCCTCACGCCGATGTGTGTCCTCACGCCGATGTGTGTCCTCACGCCGATGTGTGTCCTCACGCCGATGTGTGTCCTCACGCCGATGTGTGTCCTCACGCCGATGTGTGCCCTCTGCGGCGATGCGCGCACAGCCGTCGTCTGTGATTCTCACGGTTTAGATCAGTGGGGCTATTGAATGTCCCCCCGCTCCATCACGGGTTCCGTTACTCAATCGCCTCCCTGTTCTCAAATTACCGACAGAGCCACGGGCCGAGGACGCCATCAGTACCCCATTGTGGAGGGAGACAGAGACGCGGCTACGCGGTTCCTCTGGCGTCGAGCGGTGGAGAATGAGTGAGCTGTACGCCGCTGTTCGACATGGTTTTTTTTTGTCATGGGGTTCGCCGTTTTATCGCCGCAGTAAGAAGCAAAAGATACGTAACAATTATGTTGCGATGCATCGATTCAGCAGTTTTTAAAAAAATAATGCACAATGCGTGCATTGAATCGTGTGCGTAGGAGTTGGTTATTTTTGTTGTTGTAAGCATTTGATGTAATTGGTTCACGTGACCCCTACAGCCACTAGAGGTTCTACATTCGCCACGGAAGGTAAAATAATTGATTCTCGAATTGAATCGCAACCCCTAATTGTGACAGTTTGTCTACTTGCAAGGTATTCACATTGTTACATGCCTCTTGTGTCGTAAATATTGGTATTATATAGAGCCGGGATAATTACATCGATAATTGCCGTTACATGTGGAACACGTGTTGAATTGAATGTCGGGTTCTGAGCTTCAGCGCTGAAATAATGTCATCACTGTACACTGTGTGAGCCACGTACATTGCCAAGTCCATCTCTGTGTTCTGGTAATTAAGCCCTGGCAAGCCACTGAGTGCTTGGGCTTAAAAGCTCTCAGGTCAGGCATGTATTAGTATTAATTCCATTACACCAGCACTGCTTCACAGAGGTTGATAAACAACATATATATTTATAAAAATTGGTCTTACCCTCTCTGGAAATAAAACAGTTTGTGTTAAGATGTTACAACACCAAACAGAAACCTTTTGCAATGAATTATGTCTACATTAACCTATTTACTTGCGGTGAACGTGCAAACCAAACATGCTCTTGTAGTATATGATGATGCATTGTCTTTGAAACTGATGGGTTCACACCAGAAACGGCTTCTTTCGAGCCTCGTCTCAAACAGTGTTAGACCAGAGGACGCCAAAAGGCGACTGGGCTCTAAAGAAAGCTCTCTCTGGTGTGGACCAATCAGTTTCAAAGACAATGCATCATCATGTACTACCAGAGCATGTTTTTGTTTGCATGTTCACCATAAGTACTGTGTGTGGTTAATCCTTGTACTGACAGATCCTTTATATTTTATTTATTTTAAACATGAAAGGAGGCCTGAAGCGAAAATCTGGAGCGGGATTTTGTTATCCAGTCCATCTTGAGCCGTTTTATTTTGAACACATTTCGCAAAGCCGCCGTGGTGCCTTACAGGCAAGCGAGGGAAGGGACCTCGAACACTGGTCGCCCAATCCGACTCGAAGGCGGCCCGGCGATTAGTTGCCACAGAGGACATCGCCACCCGGCCGGTGAGACCGCTGCCAACGCCCCGTGCCAAGCGACGCGCGGATAATTCCCCAATTGTGCCGTGCTCTATTAGCGCCAGCGCATGAATATTTAATGCGAAAGCGCGCGCGCATATTCCGCTCATCGCGGCTTTGTTATTTTTTCCTTCTCCCCCCCCCCCCCCGCATCTTAACCGCACCGCGAAACAATCACAGCAAAAAAAAATATGGCCAGCTCCATGTGACCGTGGCAAATTCTCACGCGACGGGTTTCGCCCCCGTGATTTAATCCGCACGCGCGCGTCCTCTTGCTCCGTCGTCAGCGATGGCCGTACGGACGCACGCAGCAAGGGCTCGCCGGCGCCCGTGATGCGAGCGCACCGTGAGCATCGCCCGTGTTGGGAGCGCGTCTCGCCGTGCATGCGCGGTGGTAGCTGAGCATGCAGGGTACGGAAAATTGTGAACGTACCTTGGCCAAGCGACGTGTTACAGTGTCCAGGCAGGGCGCTCCTTCGGTGAGTGTGCAGCGTGCTGCCCGATGGCAGTGGCTATTGTTCCACGTCCGTCGAGCAACAGACCCCCCGCAAAAAAAAAACGGACAAAGGCTCGAATCCCATCGACCAAAAACAAAGACCAGTGGCAGGATGAATTTATTTAAGCCTCCCTGACTGTGCGGCTGTGTCTTTTACGAGAAGGCAAGGAGAGACGTGCAACAAAGGGGCGCGGATTTCTTCCCGGCGTTCAATAGGCGAGAGGACGTCGGCTGTCGTCTTGACGCCAGATGTGCACGCGATGACGGATGGCAGATCGATGCTGCCGAGCTGGTCCCCCTTTACGCAGAAACTGAACGATCGCTCCGCTGCAGCGATTTCGTTTTAAAATACAGGATACGCAATTGACGCTGTTCTGAGCATCGTATATACACACGCGCGCGGGCGCACGACTAAGACGCAGACGTCATCCGCTTACGGTAATTTAAAACAGGCCACCACCCACAAAGTGACGAACGCTCCTGGATGTGGAGAGCCGAAGAGCCTCATGCGCTGGTATCTCACCCTTCCAGTAGGGACGCGCCCGACTACCCACCCCCCCCCAACCTCTCTCTCCTCCTCATCCCTCGGCCTTGTCTCCCCCTCCCACCCACCACTAATCCCTCCCCACTCCCTTCCACGCAGTATCCCCCCACCACCAAGCAACTCTCTTCCCAGAAGGGATGGGAGTTGTTTGTCTGCAGCATTGTCAATTTTGTTTTGCTGAGTACTGCTGCGAAGGCTTATTTGAACTGGGTTTGGCCATTGGGTGACCATAGCTTCTATGACGCCACGGTGGGCTTTGTTAGGATGGGTTTGATGTTAGCCACATATTTGAAAATGGGAATTGTCATTTTAAAATTCATCCTTATTTGATCAGCGTATCAGGCGATGGGAATTGTTTCATATTCATGGTTATGATTGAATCTAAAATGTTGATGTCGAGTTATTTTTAAATTCTTAATTCATGATATACCCTTGCTGAGATTAGTTGTATTCTGATGCATGCATATTGGGTGGAACTGTGGTGCAGTGGTTAGCTCGCTGTGTTAGGAACCCGGTGAGCTGAGTTCGACTCCCGTGGATTTACAAAGGGCTGTGCATAACATGCGTCCTTGTTTTAATCCATTACACGCCGAAAAGTAATGTTCATTATGCAATGTGTCTCCTGCACATTTGGCCATGCAGAGGCGAACCTTAAATGCGAGTGGCTGCATTTTATGGTTCGTTCAAATGTCACATGCGTGCCACAAATGTAATGATGCTGCAGTTATGAAACTGCCTTGGCAGCTACGCTTTTACCCTGCTCATATGCCCGTAGCGCTGCGTCGTGCAGCACTCATCAGGAACATCGTGTGCTGTGCTCAGCATCACACGGCTCGCTCTGAGCGCCCGTAACAAAGAAGAGAAGTGTGTCCCCCCCCCCTCCCCCCGTGAAATATGATCGTCAACCCATATATCGCGGCGTCGCCTTATTTTTCCATCCTAAATTGCTCCCTGCGTGGGCATCGACCGTTCCATTAGCAGCCGAGGGCTTGGAGCTGTTATTGTGAGTGTTTCACACGACCCCTTGGTGTGGGCCCTGTGTCTGTCTCAAGTGCAATGTGAGTAAAGCGGGATCAGTTTAGACACTAAAATTGGACCGCGCCTGCCGCGGACGACGGAGCGTTGGCGAGCAGCTGACATCGAGCTGGCAACGCTGCAACACGAGGTGAGCTTCCCAGCGGCGCAGCACGCGGCTTGTGACTTGCTTGGTGATATCACATTTTAGCGGCGCTTGCAGCCTGAGCGAGGTGGCGTGGGAAATTGCAACATCAAAGGCGACGTTTAAAAATACACCACGTTACGTTAGGGGCCGTCCATAAATTACGTCACGCACCTGGGGGGGGCGGGGGTCAGACATTTGTGACGATGTGTGACGAGGAGGGGGGGGATTTGAGAAATGTGACGTCACATCAAAATGAGCCAACTTTAAATAAATATAGACAACACGTTCTACTTAATTAAATAGACTTTTTAATAAATGTTTTCTCCTACAACATCAGAGTGCAGTGCCACATTAAATACGCACTACAATGACAATAGTTTAAAGCGATTTGAAGCATGTTTGAATTTTTTTTGGGGGGGGGGCAGAGCTTTGTGACGTCATATTTTAGGGGGGGTCTGACTTTTTGTGACGCCGTGTGACGAGGGGGGGGGGGGCAAAAATCGTCCAAAATCGCGTGACGTCATTTATGAACGGCCCCTAATAGGGCTTATTTAATTTCATAACCGAGTGCCACTTTCGAGGACGTCAAGAGCAGCTGATTTGGTGGATGATTCTGGTCCTCACCGTGTAAATGTGGAATTTAACTGCCAACCAAAAGCTGGTTAAAGTAGGGACGATACTTTGACTTTAACAAAAGATATGTCATTTTTGTAGCAATATTCCACTTTAAGCATACATACTCTTTCTTTCTTTCGGTAAAGTCATGTAGGGAGAAAAATAAAATATTTCTCTACCTACGTGACTTTACCAAAAGAACCAAAGAGTATGGATTCCTTCAGTCACGAAAGCTTCAAATCAAGATTTCAGCAGACAGTAAATAAAAAATGTTCAAGGTGACCAGCCAAAAATTCTGTTATATGCGGGAAAACTTTAGATGAGGGACTTTGAAAATGAATTGTGTGGGAAAATTCTGAAAATCAGGGAAGTTTTAATCAAAGTGCCAAGTCTTGTAATCCATTCATTGACAGACGCTTTACTGCTGTACATAATGCCATAAATTGGGGTTTCGCAAAACACAAGTCCTCGCAACCCACCGCTGTCTGCCTTCCCATGTTTTCAATCCTATTTGTTCACATTGACCACATTTTATTACACGCGACACACGCGCCTGATGATTGCTAAACACATCAACGTGACGTCGAGCGTGTACGATCAAGTGAAGATAGATGATCTGCACGTACGTGTATGTGTGACCGTGTATGTCCCATGTGGGGAGCGGTGGTGTAGCAGTTAGCGTGCTGCGCTACGAACCTGACGACCCGAGTTCGATCCCCGCTCACGGCAAATAACAGTGACGAATATTTGAACCGGTCCTGGGCCTCCCCTAGGTCGACTTAGCCTTAACTTAGTACCTGGAGCGATGTGTAAACGTCGCTACTCGGGAGACAACCCAGTTCCGGGCTCATCATGGCCAGCTTTGGGGCCTCACGGTGGGGCCGTGAGACCGTTTCCACAGCAACCCCCTTGAGGAGCAGTCTTTGAGCTTTGCCAGGCCTGGCGTGGAGCATGGTGTTCCAGTCCTGGTTTCCAGTGAGGGGGTGAGCAAGGAGTGGTGTCCCAGTGGGATGTCGAGAAAGAGAGAGAGCTTACACACCATGCTAATTGGTGGAGGCTCCCAAAGCATTACAAAGCTTATGCCAGTGACATCAGTCTTGCAGCTGTTCACCCGCTCTGGGAGCTAGTCTTAGCCATAATAACAATAACAACGTCAGGAACAAGAATTGGACCCTTTGTTTTCGGAGGGCCCAGCAAGATGTGGAAGTTTGACCAATTCCATTTATTTTGTTTATGTTTGAAACCTAAATCGGAAGAATTTTTTTTACAAAAAGTCAAATTCGATAACTCTTGTTTTTGTAATAATATATGAGTGTGATTGTTAAATATAAGTAATATTTTGTCATACTTGCCAAAAATAACTATTATGCATATTTTAAAATATACTTTTTATTCCCAAAAATATTGCACTATTTGATTTAAATATTCTTGGTTTTTTCGGTCAAGTCAAGTTGAAGGTAAACAATACAATAATAAAAATATAAAACAATACAATTATCACGACGTTTCGACTGCAACAGAAGCAATCATCAGCAGGTGTGAAAACCACAGCAAGAAAATTTTTAAAAAGTGGCGTTTTTTTTTACGTTAGCACCACAGAGAGCGATTTGACAGTTTGTTCAGATGGACGAGTCCCTCTATGTTCGGAAAAGAGGAGGGGGGAGACGAAAAATAATGGATGCGGTCTGAAAGCCACCTTAAGCGTGATCAATCAATTAAGACCAGAAATGGTTTATCAAATCCTTCCAATGATTGCCGTCTGTAAAATATGTGATTCCGGACATACAGTACCCTGGCGTCTACAAACTAAGTTGCCTCTGTGGTAGTAGTTACATTGGAGAAACCAAACGACATGTCTCGGACCGCATTCGTGAACACAAAGCAGACCTGAAACACGGTAGGACCAACACCTCGGCCGTGGCAGATCACTGTTATAATTCAGTAGGCTCACATGACATTGACTTCTCCAAGACAGAGGTTCTTTGCAAGCCATCTGGCTACCATGAGAGATTCGTTCATGAGGCTATCCACATATACAAACACAGAGACAATTTCAACCAAGAAGATGGATTCTGGCTTAGCAATCATTGGAAGGATTTGATAAACCATTTCGGGTCTTAATTGATTGATCACGCTTAAGGTGGCTTTTAGACCGCATCCATTATTTTTCGTCTCCCCCCTCCTCTTTTCCGAACATAGATGGACTCGTCCATCTGAACAAACTGTCAAATGGCTCTCCGTGGTGCTAACGTTAAAAAACCGCCACTTTTTTAAAATTTTCTTGCTGTGGTTTTTACACGTCTGATGATGATTGCTTGTGTTGCAGTCGAAACGTCGTTAGAATTTTATTGTTTCATATTTTATTATTTTATTGTTTCCCTTCTACGTGAATTTACCCAAAGAACCAATAATATGAATCCCTGCAGCCACGAAAGCTTTAAATCAAAATTTATTTTATTCAACATTTTAATTTCTAATAGATTTTTGAGTTAAGCCACGTAATAATCTGGTCAAACAAATTGACATTTTTTCCCATTGCTCAAACAAAATGGCACGTATACGATTGCTTAAAGGGAAAAAAATGCACCAAGCCGCGTGTAGTGGTGAATGCTTAAAATTTCGCCAGACGTTGCATCGCCAGCCTGTGACTTGTGGTCGCGGCTGGGGGAGGCAGCGGATAGATCGTGGCCGATGTTGGTCATGATGACGACGACGATGGATGACGTCAGGAGAATTCACGTTGATAACATCCGATTAGCCGCGGTTGGCTACGTGCGGTGCGAACAAAAGTTCAGCATACATACATACATCACAGAATGCCATTTCTGGTCACGGAAAGGACGCGCCTCTGGGCATAACTTTTGTTTGAACCCGCACCCTCCATAACATCACCACTCATTTCCTGTGAACAACGCATTCCTTGGAACTACATATTAATCCTGCCTGTCACCGACACTTATATAGTTCCATATACAAAGCTTCCTGTATTCTTACATCCTCATGACATCAGAGCTGACGATAAGCAGCCCTGACCTAAGTGACTGCTATTCACGAGACAATGTATACACGCACAGGGCCGGTCCCAAGCCCGTCGTACCGCGGATCGCTAACCCATCGCTAATCCTGGCCAGGTCATCTCCTCCATTTAGAGTAATCACGCATAATCTGCTTGGGATCCTAGGGTCACTGTCCCTTTTTTTTCTCTCCCAATGCTCAAAATTCTCGTGATGCAGAACTTGTTTCTGCGTGTGCGTCACGCCAAGACAGACCGGGACGCGCTGCCACAATGGTGTCACGGTTCTCTCACTGGACTTTCAATTCCCGGGGTTGCCAGTTCTGGGGCGCGTGGGTAGCATAGAGAAGCATCCAGCAGCATCCCACCGCAGCGTGCGACGCTTCACCGTGGCAGCCGCACGACCGCCTGTTCCTACTCGCGCGACGTAGTTCCGTTTGCTCCATCGCGATGTATATCCAATTCGCATCCGCGTTATAAAAAAAAAATCCGTTCCATAATACATTCATCGCGTTGTATATCCAATTGGGGTTACGAAACTCCGCGGCGTTACATGAGAACAGACTGTACATACTCCAGCATCCTAATCGGGACCCCAAACGAAACCCCTTCAAGGGGTACTCCACCGAGCCCTGTCTCCACTCCTCAATGTAAACCCCTTTAACACGCCTACTGCCCTGTCCCCCACCACGTCTCCACCACTTATCCATCCGTTGCGTCACCCTTCCTTACATTTCTACACACCAGCATCGAGGCATCCCCATCACGTCGGACCTGGGGCCAGATCTACCGCGTGCTAACTACAAAATGTGCCATTTCAGCTCCAACTGCGAGCACTGTGGTACTGTTGTAGTTCTGTGCGGTGAGCTGAGCACAGCATGCACAATAAGTCGTCTGTGACACGAATCTGATTACCCCAGGCACGTCTATCACCAGTGGTGGCAAGTTATACCTGAGCCAGCTGAGTCTGGCCTCCCTTAAGTTTGCACAACGCGGTTAAGTATGGCCACGCAGCCCCGTACGAATATATCTGCTTGATGGGGCCTTCTTTGTGCAGCAGTGAACTATAGCACAAAAGCTTGAGATGTGAGATGCATTGTAAAATATAACACAAAACTTCACATTATTATGACTATTTTGCTCAGCTAGCTGTGTTCATTGTTCGTGATTTTGTGCACTGCAAAGACAAAGTTTCCCAATGTATAGCCTTAACGGACTTCTATCACACCACCACAAACAGGAACATCTATTTGCTTGCTTCCGCCAACAACACCACGTTTCTTTCTTTGTAAATGCCATGTCGACCATGCTAATAATTACAATTTACTGATAGAATGCCCAGTGCTCGCAAAAGTGACAAGGGGCCGTCCATAAATGACGTCACGCACCTAGGGGGGTAGGGGGGGGGGGGTCAGACATTTGTGACGATGTGTGACGAGGAGGGGGGGGGGTCAAAAATCGTCCAAAATCGTGTGACGTCATTTATGGACGGCCCCCAAAAGATTGATCATAATGATACTGCCATTTGTTTACCCAAGCCTCATGAAGTAGGAAGACCTCCTTCTCAGGGAGGGCTCTTCCATTGGAATGTTTGACCAAGGCCTTTAATGCGAGTGCTGCATGTGGGAGGCTACACGAGCGTACCCAGACAAAAAGCCAAACATCACAAGGTTACACTGTACAGCGTGGTCCAGATGTCTTGTGACACTCCCCCCCCCCCCCCCCCCCATTTAATTATCTCCAAGGCATAATATTTTGAAGTGAAATTTATTTAAAACAGAAAATAATTTGCAAAGAAAAAAAATAGTGGACAATTAATTGGGGAGGGGGGGGGGGGTCAAAAGACACCTGGACCGATCTGTACAATCCATTTCACATCTCAAGCTTACAGTCATTAGTATTTACAGGCATTCTCCCTGCCAGGTACAGGCTGTTTTCCTACAACGCCACGTGTCGTTTTCATCACGCGAATTGTATGCAACGCGACGAATGATGTATTCGGGAACACGTGCCTTATGGCGTGGATGCGATTTGGATGTAACGCGATTGAGCGGACAGAACAAGCGTCGTGCGAGTCGGTGGGATGCTGCTGGATGCTTCTCCATGCCTACCCACGCTCCTCAGTCTTTGTTCGGGCCTGCGTACGCATCTCAAGCACCATCGCGGACTGTGCTTTGGGACCGTCCATAAATGACGTCACGCACCTGGGGGGGGGGTTAAACATTTGTGACGATGTGTGACGAGGGAGGGGGGGGTTGATGAAATGTGACGTCACATCAAAATGCGCAACTTTAAATAAATATAGACAACACGTTCTACTGAATTAAATAGACTTTTTAATACATGTTTTCTCCTACAATATCAGAGTGCAGCGCCACATTAAATACGCACTACAATGACAATAGTTTAAAGCGATTTGAAGCATTTTTTTGGGGGGGGGGGGGCAGAGCTTTGTGACGTCATATTTGAGGGGGGGGTCTGACTTTTTGTGACGCTGTGTGACGAGGGGGGGGGGGGTCAAAAATAGTCCAAAATCGCGTGACGTCATTTATGGACGGCCCCTTTGCCCCACGTTAGATGTTACTTTTTAAAACGAGATTTTTCCATGACGTGGTGTTCCCCGGGAACGCAATTACTGCGTTTAACGGAGAACGGACCCGCGTTTGCCATGGTCAACTTTTCTTGACTTCTGAGGTCACAATTATTTGCCGCAGTGTATATAGAGCACACTTTTACATTTGGCACGTTGTCTCAAAGTGTTTCGGTCTGCCGGAGGTGTGTTTATGTCGAACAGTGGTCACCCATCAGTTTTGTAAGGTTCACATATCGTATCAATAAAATTATCACGAATGTGGACTTGCGCACACACGCGCGGTTACTCAAAGAGGGGCGACATTGGGCGTGCAGGGTTTCCCCTTTTACAATAGAACGTTAAGAAGAGACGGCTGCGCTTGCTTTAAAAACCTCTCCGTGTGTTGTAACCGTCAGTCTGCACTGCGTCACATCGACAACCTGCACTGACCAGAGAGGTGAAGTATGGTCAAACAACCCTCATGACTGAAACTGCATTGGAAGGACCTTCACCCATCAATGGATTGACACGGAGCTGTACATTATTATGAATCATAAAAAAAAGAATTATACTTTGAATAATTTAACATTGCATAGCCTGAGTCAATCCACCGATGTACTGATAAGGGATTGTACACAATAATTATAATGATCTAACAATGTTCATTCCATGCCAATCCGTTGGGGTATTTACGCCTTTTTAACATTCAACATCCTGACACTGGCGAACGGGTCTCAATCATTTTTACTCTCTTTAATGGATGATTCATAATTTATAGTGTGGATGAGCGTCGTAGGGCGTTCCTAAACTCGCTTGAGGAAGTGTTCCGACCACTCATCCTCGACTGGTGCTACTGACCACGCAGCAGAGGCTGCAGCAGCAGCAGCAAGACCAACAACAGCTACAGCAGCAGCTGAGAGATGCTGTTCCCGGCAGGACCACTCACCGCCAGGGTGACGACTGCCCTGCTACTGATGGGCACCTGGCTACAGGTGTGTCTCTCTCAAGCCCCGGATCCCAGCAGCGGACATCCCAACACCGACGAAGGTAACGTGGCGGGGCGGGTTTGAGGGGGGTGGTGAAATGTGCCGTAGCAGGGGTGGATCGGTCGTGGCGGCAGCCACGCAAATCCGAGTGTGTTGAAGTGCTACTAAAGAAGCAAGCAGCGGCGTTTGGTGGCAAATATTTTTGGTGGGACGGTGCCAGCGGTCGCAGTAGCGGGTCTGGGGGGCCACAGGTAAGACCCACACTGAGCTATCGATATAGCTCTTTTTCAGAAGCAACCTGGCCACACATTATAGCTCAACAGAGTGGCTTATCGTGGGGAAATGTCTAGCAGCCAAATCCTCTAAACGCGTGTTTATAAATGTGGAGGGAAAAACCGGAGGACCCGGAGAAAAATCCACACGACCACGTGGAGAGATATGCAAACTTCAAATATAGAGGCGTCAGGGTCGGGATGGAACCCACGACCTGCATACCAGGCGAGGTAGTTAAGATCTCACCCCCGCTACAGCTCTGGGTTTAGGAGGAGCAGGCGGTGGGATGGGCGGCGGGACTGATGGCTATGGTGAAACAACTGTCATGTATTAAATATTTTAGTGTTGTAATATACAGGGGGCAGGGTGCTGTGGTTAGACTCTGCTTCACATGAAGAAATAAATTGCGGTTGGATGCTGACTTGGCTAATCGGCTGTGAAAGGTCGATTAGATTGGTAGATTTTCCTGGGAATCCAATAGCGGTTATTTTTCCATTGACAAACTGAACAATGCCATTTAAATGTGAAAGTGCCCCCTTTCGGGTTGAAAGCTGTAAATAAATATGAGTGCCGTCAATTGTTCTCTTGGGCAGCGACACGACTGTCATATGAAATGCACAGCAATAATACCCTTCGTTTAGAGGTGTGAGATTGAAATACACGCACACAGCAATAATGCCCTTCGTTTAGAGGTGTGAGATTGAAATACACGCACACAGCAATAATGCCCTTCGTTTAGAGGTGTGAGATTGAAATACACGCACACAGCAATAATGCCCTTCGTTTAGAGGTGTGAGATTGAAATACACGCACACAGCAATAATGCCCTTCGTTTAGAGGTGTGAGATTGAAATACACGCACACAGCAATAATGCCCTTCGTTTAGAGGTGTGAGATTGAAATACACGCACACAGCAATAATGCCCTTCGTTTAGAGGTGTGAGATTGCGTTGGCAGTGGTGCAAAAGTACAGACAAACTCAATACGCTCCTCAATAACACTGCCGTAAATAGAAAACATGTATACAACATGCAACATTTCAGACAATGCCCCCCTCCTTCCCCTTCATAGCAAAGAGACTGCTAATTTATTACTCATTTCCTTGCCAAACCTTTTTTAAAGTTCACATTTCCTAAATGACCAAATTGCCTGAAGTGCATCGGATCATGTCACATCGCAGAAGCTGATTTAGTTGGCCTGGACAGTGTCTAAATGAGTGACCCCCATGCATATTAGGTTGTTATAGACTGCGAGATGACAGGGTGGGGAGCAGAAGGTAGTGCAGAACAATTGTTGTACTATACTATACGCACTGAACAATGCGGTGGAGTATGGTCACGTACTGTACTCTTTGGTTCTTTCGGTAAAGTCACGTAGTAGGTATAAAATAAAATAAATCACGACGTTTCGGGCGCAACACAAGCGTCCGTCATCAGGTGGGAAAGCATGGTCCTGCTGCTGAGGCAGACTGTTTTAAAAGGTTTGAAATGGGTGTAGCCCAAGGGTCATAAAGAAGTGGCCGGGGCTGGTGATGTTAATGTGAGAAATTAGCATGTGACTGTAAGATAGAAGTGGCCTCCTCGACGAGGGAGTGCAACCCAACGAGTGCAATCCAAAGGACATGTGAGTATGAGAGTGCAATCCAAAGGGCATGTGAGCATGAGAGTGCAATCCCAAGGCATGAGAGTGCAATCCAACGGACATGTGAGCATGAGAGATCTAAGAGAGAGGCATAGAGAGAGAGTCGGAAATAACAGCTGACATAGGCAGGTGGGACAGAAACATCACAGTCAGTTAAGACTTTACCTGGTTAATAACGTGCTTCCAATGATTTCTCAGTTTCTACCCATCCTCTCGGTTGAAGTTGTGTCTGCGTTTATGGTCACATAACAACACGACCCGCACGCTGTGTGGAGGCCATCATCCAGCAGTGGATTTACAAACGGGTGTACATGCACAACGATCATTTGTGTTCATAAAATTAAAACCAGAGCATATTGTTGCTCTAACAGTAAAGCTGGGTTTAACGTGGTACGTTTAATACAGTTTGAAAGAAAAATAAAATAAAATGTTTGCTCAAACGTGACCAAAAAATATACCACATATTATTGTTTTATAATAATTCACGTGACACTTATTGGCCCCAAAAACTAATACAAGCCTATTTTTATAAAATTATACCAATTACTAGAATGTCACTGACCTTCATTATCGAGGACGTGCTGGTTTTAATTGGACACGGTCTACACGGGGGGTTAGTTGGTCTGTCAATTGACATTTGATCTCCCAAATTCATCACCTCCCAAACAAAGCAAAATCACATTTTTACAGAAAATAAGCAGGCTTAATCCACTGATGAAACCACGATGGTCGAAACTGGCCCAGAGATTGCATTTTCTACTGCCTAGGTTTTCACGACTTGTGCTGTAAAACTCTCCGATGTGTTTTAGGGCCCCACGGTAGCCAAAAGCTTCTCATTAAATTATTTAAGTTCCTAAATGAGCTCCCAGCCTATGGAGGGAAACGTCGGACATCGTGCCGAGCAACACACGGTACGATACAAAACACGTCGGGAGGGTTTTGCGTGTTTAAACAAATTCTGCTGGATGTCATTGCTCTCTATACCCTTTTGGTTCTTTCGGTAAAGTTAAGTAGGTAAAAATAAAGTTGATCAAATCACGACGTTTCGGAGGCAACACAAGCTTCCGTCATCAGGTGGCAACGGTCACAGCAAAATTACTGTGGTGAGTAGAGAGAGAGAGAGCTGTTTGTGACACGAGATTATATAGGGTAAGAAAAGGGGGAGGAGCCAGGGAGGACGGATGCAGAGTGGGCGGGTGTGGATGAGTAGTGGGGACTGGGCATGGTACCCATGGCCCACGGATGGGGGGAGGGGGGGGAGATTGGGATGGGAGACAACTTGGCACGATTGAAACATTGCAAGTCAAATATCCTAGTGATTGTGGTGTGTAAGGCTGGGAGTAAAAGACCGGATATATGGATATGAATGTAAACCCTAAGGCAGCTAAAGTTTAACATGGTTAATAGCATATTTCCAATGATTGCTCAATTTGAATCCATCCTCTCGGTTGAAGTTATGTCTATGTATATCTGTATGGCTTCATGGACAAATCTTTGGTGGTATCCAGACGGCTTGCAGAGCACTTTGGTATCAGAGAAAAAAATATCATGAGAACCCACCGCGTTACAGCAATGATCAGCCACGGCAGAAGAATTCGTCCTACCGTGTATCAAATCTAACTTGTGCTACCGTGTTTCAAATCTGACATTGCTCTCGGGAAGCCGGTTGACTGCAATCAGACAGCACGAAAAGAGAAAAACACAATAAGAACCATTTAGTTCATAGCCTCATTAAAATATCAAGCTCGGCGCCAGCGTCCACACCGCCCGTTCTGGGGAGCCCCCTCCCCGCCGAATCGGAATATTTGTTTATCCTGGAGAATTTCGATGAGCTAACTCTGCTCATGCTGACCCTCTCTTCCATTCTTATACTCCTCGATCTGTCCTCAGCTTTTGACACGGTTGACCATCCTACTCTTAAAACTTGATTTGGCGTGACTGCAGGAATTACTCTTTGGTTTTTCCGTAAAGTCACGTAGAAATAAGAAATAATAAAATTACATAATAGCATACGACGTTTCGATTGCAACGCAAGCAATCATCATCAGGCACAGAAGAGCTAAATTTAAGAGAGAGAGGAAACACAGAACCATAGACATATATACAGACACCTAAGTAGAGGGAGTTAACACAGAGACACAAAGAGAGACACACGTATGGGACACAGAGAGACAGGGTCTCGGCACAGAGACCCTGTCTCTCTGCCTGGTTCCTATCCAAACTTGAACGTCGTGTCACGTAAACCCTTCCAAAACTCAAATTATCTTTTTCCCTACATCCCGTTCCCCTCCACCCTGTTCCACCACCTCTTTCCCTCTCTGTATTTACGATTTCCCCTATTTCCTCAGCCTGCAGTCTTGGCGTTATCTTTGACTCTTCCCTCTCCCTCACCGATCACATCCCCGCGACTAACTTGTCCTTGCCGGTTTAATTCGTTAAAAATTCGCAAAGTCCGACCGCATATTTCCAGGTCTGCATCATCCAATCCCTTATCCGCACCCGTCTGGACTACTGCAACTCTCTCACGCTCAGTCTTATCGTTTACTATTTTGCTCCCCTTCAGCAAATCCAAAGCAACTCAGCTCGGATCATATTCAACCTTCCCTATAATTCCCATTCCTCGACCCTCCTCGCACAACTGCACTGGCTTCCTGTCCACTACCGCTGCCTGTTCAAATCTCTCACCCTGGTATACAAATCCCTTGATGGTGTTGCCGCACCATAACTTGCCACGCTTGTATCTTTCTACGTCGCCTTCACGCCCTGTACGTTCTCAATCTTCGCTGTCTCGCCTTCTGTTCCTCCGTCTCCATGAGCTCAATCCACGCTTTCGCTATTTTTATTTTATCGCCCCCCCCCCTCCCTTCTACACTGGAAAAAACTCCCCACCACCAGATGAAGCAGTCACCTTCGCTCGCTAGTTTCCACGCCGCACTCAAAGCTCACTTATTTTCCAGAGCTCACCCCGCGACCCCCTCAATCTCCGCCTCCTAAACGTCACCGTTATTTCTTTCCCTCTTCATATTCTCGTTATGTGGCTTTCACTCATTCCCGATTCATTCAATCCATTCATTCGTCGTTTACCGCCATCAATTTCACTTTCACCGAATTCACGCATCACAAAATTGCCCGTTGCTTCCGTTCATA